TGATGACTGGTCAAGTCAGGATGAAAATCCAGGTCCACAGCTCAAATACTAAAACTCTGTGCTTTAGGTTGCACTCACATTATCATCTCAATGAGATATCTTCATCAAGATAATTTCTTTTTTTTCTTTTCTTTTTTTTGTGACAGAGTCTTGCTCTGTCACCTGGGCCAGAGTACAGTGATGCAATCTTGGCTCACTGCAACCTCCGCCTCCCAGGTTTAATGATTCTTCTGCCTCAGCCTCCCAAGTAGCTGGGATTACAGGCACACACCACCACCTGGCTTTATTATTATTATTATTATTACTTTTCGTTGAGATGGGGTTTCACTATGTTGGCCAGATTGGTTTCAAACACCTGACCTCATGATCCTCCCACCTCGGCCTCCCATAGTGCTAGGATTAAAGGCATACGCAACCGTGCCCGTCCCATAAAGAGAATTCTGTCTGGTAAGGAGTGTCCCAGAACTGTCAGCAAAGACCTCACAGGAAGGCGTTTCCCAGCATGAGCAATGCAGCTTTTCTAAACATCAGGTTTCCACTGCCCCAGCCACCTCACCCAGCCCTGGCCAGGCTAGAACAGGCCTGCAGTGGTGGTGGAGCTGATCAAGGGCCACCAGGGATAAACCCCACCCCTCTACTGTTCCCCTGACACTTACTTCCCTATCCCCTGCTGCTTGTAAGCACCTGTACCCAGGGGCCAAGCAGAGACTCAGGAAGCCTGTGGGCGGGAAAGCCACAAGTTGCTCAGCTAGTATTTTAAAACAAAAAATAGTTTTTGAAGTCCCACACAAATAACACAGCCAAGGCCACATGGGAGTAGGCAGCCTTGTAGGTTCACATTCACCTTTCTCAAATAAGGCTTCCATTTCTTGGGTGCTTATGATATTCATTGCATCTCATCGGTTTAAAATATTGGGGGCAGGCCTGGCACCATAAAAACCCTAGAAGGAAATCTAGGCAAAACCATCCAGGACATAGGAGTAGGCAAGGACTTCATGAACAAAACACCAAAAGCATTGGCAACAAAAGCCAAAATAGACAAATGGGACCTAATGAAACTCCACAGCTTCTGCACGGCAAAAGAAACAGTCACTAGAGTGAATCGGCAACCAACAGAATGGGAAAAAATTTTTGCAGTTTACCCATCTGACAAAGGGCTGATATCCAGAATTTACAAAGAACTCAAACAGATTTACAGGAAAAAAACAAACAAGCCCATTCAAAATTGGGCAAAGGATATGAACAGACACTTTACGAAAGAAGACATATATGAGGCCAACAATCATATGAAAAAATGCTCATCATCACTGGTCATCAGAGAGATGCAAATCAAAACCACATTGAGATACCACCTCATGCCAGTTAGAATGGCGATCATTAAAAAATCTGGAGACAACAGATGCTGGAGAGGATGTGGAGAAATAGGAACACTTTTACACTGTTGGTGGGAGTGTAAATTAGTTCAACCATTGTGGAAGACAGTGTGGCGATTCCTCAAGGCCTTAGAAATAGAAATTCCATTTGACCCAGCAATCCCATTACTGAGTATATATCCAAAGGACTATAAATCGTTCTACTATAAGGACACATGCACACGAATGTTCATTGCAGCACTGTTTACAATAGCAAAGACCGGGAATCAACCCAAATGCCCAATGATGATAGACTGGATTGGGAAAATGTGGCACATATACACCATGGAATATTATACAGCAATCAGAAATGATGAGTTTGTGTCGTTTGTAGGGACATGGATGAATCTGGAGAACATCATTCTCAGCAAACTGACACAAGAACAGAAATTGAAACACCGCATATTCTCACTCATAGGCGGGTGATGAAAAACGAGAACACATGGACACAGGGGAGTACTAAACACTGGGGTCTATTGGGGGGAAAAGGGGAGGGCCAGTGGGAGGGGGAGGTGGGGAGGGATAGCCTGGGGAGAAATGCCAAATGTGGGTGAAGGGGAGAAAGGAAGCAAAACACACTGCCATGTGTGTACCTATGCAACTGTCTTGTATGTTCTGCACATGTACCCCAAAAGCTAAAATGCAATAAAAAATTTAAAAATATATATATATTGGGGGCAGGGCCACCAAATAACTTCCCCAGTGGATTACTTCCAGGAAGTCCGTTTCATTTTTGAAAAACTTTAGGAATTACCACAGTAACATATAAATTATGGTCCAGACACTATGGTAAGCAATTAGCATGCATGTAATAGTTTGATCACTATACAGATAAATAGCATTATTGTTCCTATTTTATAGACAAGGAAACCGAAGTCAAAGAGGGTCAGTGATCTGCTGAAAGTTACAAAACTAGAAGGCAGAGCAATGATTTAAACCCAGGTTTCTTGGACTCCAGGGTCTAAGTGGCTGGTTCTTCCGAGAGGTTGAATTGCCTCTAAGGGACGGGGTGTTAGTTGGGATTTTGGAGAATCTGCAGTTTTCCCTGTCCCCTTCAAAAGTTGTAGGCATACAAAAAAGAGGATGTCCTGCTAAGGACTGTATCTCCTTCCAATAAGTATCAGTACTTCTAATGGTCTTAGACCATTAGATCCTGAAGAATTACAGAGATTATTTCCTCCAACCTCTTCGTTTCATAGACAAGGACTGCGAGGTCCAGGGAGGGCAAGCAACCAGTGCAGGGCACACAGCTAGAAAGCAGTTCCTCGACTCCAGCCCAGGAAGCTGTCCACCATGCCACTGTCTCCGTGGGGGGAGACACTGTGATCACTGGTATACAGGAGATGATTTTAGGGGGAGACAGATAAAACTTTAAATAGTGTTGCTCCTAAAAGTGGTTCTGCCATTCTATCCAGGAATCACACTACTGGGTACCCAGCCAAAGGAAGTCATTATATGAAAGAGACACTTGCACACTCATGTTTATAGCATCACAGTTCACAATTATAAGAATATGGAACCAACCTAAATGCCCATCAACCAACGAGTGGATGAAGAAAATGTGGTATGTATACCCCATGGAATAGTACTCAGCCATAAAAAGGAACAAAATAATGGTATTTGCAGCAACCTGGATGAAGTTGGAGACCATGATTCTAAGTGAAGTAACTCAGGCATGGAAAACCAGACATCCTGTGTTCTCACTCATAAGTGGGAGCTAAGCTGTGAGGATGCAAAGGCCTAAGAATGACACAATGGACTTTGGGGATGCTGAGGGGAAGGGTGGGGTGGTGAGGGATAAAAGACTGCACATTGGGTACAGTGTACACTGCTCCAGTGAGGGTGCACCAAAATCTCAGAAATCACCGCTAAAGACCTTATCCATGCAACCAAATACCACCTGTTCCCCAAAAGCTATTGAAATGTAAAAATAAAAATAAATAGTTGAGGCCGGGCGCGGTGGCTCAAGCCTGTAATCCCAGCACTTTGGGAGGCCGAGGCGGGTGGATCACGAGGTCGAGAGATCAAAACCATCCTGGTCAACATGGTGAAACCCCGTCTCTACTAAAAATACAAAAAATTAGCTGGGCATGGTGGCGCGTGCCTGTAATCCCAGCTACTCGGGAGGCTGAGGCAGGAGAATTGCCTGAACCCAGGAGGCGGAGGTTGCGGTGAGCCGAGATCGCGCCATTGCACTCCAGCCTGGGTAGCAACAAGAGAGAAACTCTGTCTCAAAAAAAAAAAAATCGTTGATTGACATCATGTGAAAACTATTTCCTTCTCACTTTTCCTTTAGTCTTTCTGATTACTTTAAGGATAGTCTCAGTTCAGTGATAATATATCTTTAACAGCTTTCCTTAAATGTTCTTTAAGAAACTTTTTAAGAGAGAGAATGGATCCTTGGTGGAAAGCCATATCGGTATCAGCAAGAACTTAGCACCATTGCTTTCTTCTTTTTTCTTGGCTACCCTCCAATTATGTCAAGTGATGCAAGTTTTCCATTGACACATTAAAGTTTCCATTTAAATACATGTATTTAGGTTAAAGAAAAATTGAGTTGATTTAAAGAAAAATATTAAATGAATACTGGTCACTCACTGACTATAATACAACAAATTTTTAAGCAATATTAGTGAAAATAAAGATGCTACTTCATAATCACTTTGTAAGCAAATTAGTAAGCAAACTAACATTTTAAAGCATGTGACTAGAAACCTATCACACTAACATGGGGGTCAGCCCCACGCTCTGCGACTTCATCGCATCACTCCCCACCACAACCCCCTGTACCGCTCAGGGGACCTCAGGAGGAGTCTAACAGGGCAATTCCGGTGGAAGGGGAAGCAGCCAAGGCCAACAGGGAGGGGGACTGACTGCGAGCAGATTTCAGTAGGGAAAGGGGTATGCTGCCCCCTAGCGGACAGTTTGGAAATTAGCCTGGCACCTTTTTGTCCTGTGGTGTAGGCAGACAAGCCTTTCCAAAACGTCTCCTTTGCATTGTAAGCGGACATGTAAGCATAGGCACACGCTGCCTGTGAATATCACTTCAGGGTAGTACAGGAGGTGTTCCAAAATGCTTCATACATGAAAGGACTTTTATGTCTGATAAGGGTGAGAACTACTGTCCTACAGCAGCAAGACCCGGTGCTCCCTGCTTTACTTACAGCCAGGGAAGGACAAGCTCCTATGTAGACCGCTTCGTGGTACCCAGTGTACCTTCTAGCTGGATGTTGCAAAAGTTACTTAACCAATCATAGCCCAAGTTTCCTGCCGACAATAATGAATGCACATGCATACCCACACCCCAAGGCATTGCTCTGAGAGTCCAAAGGTCTATGCGTGTGAGGCACTTAGCACGGATCTGGCAGTAAGTAAGCACTAATCAATGTCAGGTGGTGGCGATAATAGCGTTCTCCCTTCCACCAGCCTCTCCACCCCAGTTTTATTGAAAGACAGACAGAGACAGAGACAGAGACAGACGAGAGACAGGAGAGACAGACGAGAGAGAGAGAGAGCGAGCGAGAGAGAGAGAGAGAGAGAGAGAAAGAGAGAGAGAGAGAACGATCAGGATTTTCAGGCAAAACTTACCACACCCATCAAGCTGAGGAAATCCTAAAGACATCAAATCTTAAGTTACCACTCACTCATCTCAGCTGAAAGAACATTTCCAAATTAGAGGAAGCTGCGAATGACTGGCTGAGAAGACAGGAGGTGCCCTCTAGTGGCATGGTTACAGTAGCTTGGGAGGAAAGGCGATGTAGTGTCATTTTCAAAGGGAAGGTCAAAAGCAGTTGTTAAACTGAAGCAGGAGGCAATGATGCTTCAAAGATGCAAGGGGAATTTACCATCTTCTCTGTGGACCATCGAAGATGGTCTTTAAGATCTGACCTTACCCAAGAACAAGTGATGTGCTGAAGGTCAGATCAGTTAATAAAGGGTGGAGCTGGGAATTGAACCCAAAGGTGCTAATTACAAATCCAGAAATCTTGCCCTTGACAAAAAACTACTTACCAGTAGGAGCTGTAGCTTGTGTCATTTTACATCCTTCAAAGCAGGAACCACAGGGTTTTTTATACATTGATGCAGTATTCAATAAATTACTTGATGAAATAATATTTATGAAATGATTGTTTGTGAAATAATGAATAATATATTGTTTCATGTGTTGCTCACAATAACTGTATGAAATAGCCTAGTTTACTGATAAGGAAATTAAGTCTCTAGTCAAGTAACTTGCCTAAGATCATGATTCGAACCAAGCATGCTCACTCCAGAGCCTGGGTGCTTACCCACGAGACATGCAGCTCTCAAACTGATCTCAGGATTCCTTTACAGTCTGAGTTTTTGTTGTTGTTGTCATGTTGTTTGTCGAAATTGTGTTTTACTATGCTCAAGCAATCCTCCCACTTCAGCCTCCCATAGCGCTGGGATTACAGATGCAAGCCACCTTGCCTGGCTTCCTTTACAGTCTTAAAAAATCATTAAGGATGAAAAAGAGTTTTTGTTTATCAGGATTATACCTATCATATTTATAGTTTTAGAAATTAAAGCTGAGGAATTTAAAATCTATTTATTTAAACATTACCATAATAACCCAATTAATTCACAAATTCTTTATAAAAAATAACTATTTTTCTAAACCAAAAAAAAACCCCCACATTTAGATGATTAACATGACATTGTTTTATATTCCTGAGAATCTCTACTAACTGGCTTAAGACATCTGATTTCTCATATCTGCTTATTCATTTGCTATAATACCACATATGGAATAGCTTCTGGAAAACTCCACCATATATTTGTGAAAGAATTAAAATTAAAAAGGCAAATAACATCCTGGCACTATTCTCGAAGTGAATTTGATGTCGCATACCCCTAAAAGGTCTTGGGGAACCCTGGTATGCCCAGGCACCCTTTGAAGCACTGGTATACAATATGCTGTCCATAGGGCAAATGAACAAAGGGCTCTCCCCGCTGAGAGTCACATCTCCAAGGAGTTCATTCCACCTGTACTACATTGTTCTTAGTGACTTCACAAACTCATTTCAACCTCTTTATGTTTTACATTCTTGCTCTTTTCCTGGCAATTGCATGTCCTTGAAGGCAACTCTTTCTTCCTGTGTTCTAGATGCAGCCAGCCATCAGGGTAGTGATGGGCCCCAAAACAGAATCTTTCAAGCAATAAAGAGGGGCTCTGCTATGATCCTAGATGCCTCTATGTCAAGACCAAAGAGCATAATCTATTTGTATTAGTCTGTTCTCACACTGCTATGAAGAAATACCCAAGACCGAGGAAAGGAAAGGAAAGAGGTTATAAAGGAAAGAGGTTTAATTGGCTCACAGTTCCTCAGGGCTGGGGAGACCTCAGGACACTCAAAATCATGAAGGAAAGGGAAGCAAACACATCCTTCTTCATGTGGTGGCAGCAAGACATGCAGAGCGAAGGTAGGGAAAATCCCCTTAAAAAACCATCAGATCTTGTGAGAACTCACTGTCATGAGAACAGGATGGAGGTAACCACCCCCATGATTCAACTACCTCCCACCAGGCCCCTCCTACAACACGTGGGGATTATGGGAACTACAATTCAAGATAGGATTCTGGTGGGGACACAGCCAAACTATATCACTATGTGTTCCTATTATTCCATTTCTAGAGAAAAGAACTTCTTAAAAATTCTCACAGGCAGTAAGACTTAACCTGGTATGAGGGGAGCAGCGCAGTGCCAGGGCCTCAGGGCAGATGATTGGGGCCTGCACAGCTGCAGCATTAAGCAAAGAGAGGGAAGCCAGGCTCCCGGCTCCAGAAACTAAAAAGAAGAGGAGGTGATACATATTTTCCTAAAATAATATGAGGAAATACCCACGTGTATTAAAAATAAAAGAACCTGCCAGGCGCAGTGACTCACGCCTATAATCCCAGCACTTTGGGAGGCTGAGGCAGGTGGATCACGAGGTCAAGAGATCAAGACCATCCTGGTCAACAAGGTGAAACCCCCTCTCTACTAAAAATACAAAAATTAGCTGGGCATGGTGGGGCACACCTGTAGTCCCAGCTACTCAGGAGGCTGAGGCAGGAGAATTGCCTGAACCCAGGAGGTGGAGGTCGCAGTGCGCCGAGATCGTGCCAGCCTGGGTAATAACAATGAAACTCTGTCCCAAAAAAAAAAAAGAAGAAGAAGAAAATAATAAAAAATAAAAGAACCTCTTGCTTATACAGCATAAATTCTGAAAATCTTCTAATCGAAAGCCAATGCATCTGCTGTCTAGACTTGAATATGGACAATATTAGCAGAACAGTAAAAAGAATACTCCACCTGAAGAACAAAGCCTTTAAAAGAAGATGCAGGAGGGATCCAAGATGGCCGAATAGGAACAGTTCTGGAGCGCAGTTCCCAGACAGAACAACGCAGAGGGTGAGTGAACACCGCATTTGAAAACGAGTTATTACTGTCCACAGACCAAGAGATTCCCAGGCTGAAAAGCACCATGAGTTTCCAGCACGGCTGTTTCAGCCAGCGCAGTGGGTCTCTGCACAAAAACTCACACAAATCTGGGCAGCCATTTCAACTGGCACCTGGAACACCTGGGGGACAGAGCCACCCATTCAACTGAAAAAAAAAGAAGGTTGATAAAGGGAGCCAGGTGATCTGGCTCAGCGGATCCCACCCCCACAAAGACTAGCAATCTGAAATGCTCTGGATTGAGAGTTTCACAGCAAGCGCAGCTGGACCCGGGATGGTCCAGCTCTGGTGGAGGGAAGGGCATCTGCCATTATCAAGGCAGTCAACCACTACCGAGGCAGTCCACCATTACTGAGACAGTCTACCATTAGCCAGGCAGTCCGCCATTACAGAGGCAATTCACCATTACTGAGGCAGTTCTAACTATACCTCTATAAACAAAGCTACAAGGAAGTGCAAACAGCAGCTGGGCAAAGCCCACGGCAGCTCAGCAATGCTTCTGCTGGCAGAATGTGACTAGGCTACCTCCTTGCTGGGCAGGGCATCTCTGAAAAAAGGCAGCAGCATGTCAGTAACTTAAAAATAAAGCCCCACCTTCCCGGGACAGAGCACCTGGGAAAAAAGGCAGTTATGAGTTCTGCTGCAGCAGACAAAAATGTACCTGCCCAGCAGCTCTGAACAGAACAATGGAGGTCACAGCTCAGCATTTGAGCTCCTATAAGGGACAGACTGCCTCCTCAAGCAGCTTCCTGACCCCCATATACCCAAAGAGTCACCTCATAAAGGAGAGCTCAGGCTGACATCTAGCAGGTATCCTTCTGGGACGAAGATAACAGAAAAAGAAACTGGCAGCAACCAGTACTGTTCTGTAGCCACTGCAGGTGATCCCCAGGCAAGCAGGGTCTGGAGTGGACCTCCAGCAGCCCTACAGCAGAGGGTTCTGACTGTTAGAAGGAAAAGTAAAAAACAGAAAGAAATAACTTCATCATCAACAAAAACGATGTCCACTCAGAGACCCCATCTGAAAGTCAACAACTACAAAGACCACAGGTAGCGAAATCCACAAAGATGGGAAGAAACCAGTGCAAAAAGGATGAAAACACCCAAAACCAGAACACCTTTCCTCCAAGGGATTACAACTCATCACCAGCAAAGGAACAAAGCTGGATGGAGAATGAGTCTGATGAATTGGCAAAGACTTCAGAAGGTGGGTAAAAACAAACTTCTCTGAGTTAAAAGAACATGTTCTAACCCAATGCAAAGAAACTAAGAACCTTGAAAAAAGGTTTGATGAAATGCTAATAAGAATAAACAGCTTAGAGAAGAATATAAATGACTTCATGGAGCTGAAAACACAACACGAGAACTTTGTGAAGCATACACAAGTTTCAATAGCCGAATCAACCAAGCAAAAGAAAGGATATCAGAGGTTGAAGATCAACTCAATGAAATAAAGAAGGCAAGATTAAAGAAAAAAAGAGTAAAAAGAAATGAACAAAGCCTACAAGAAATATGGGATTGTGTGAAAAGACCTAATGTACGTTTCATAGGTGTACCTGAATGTGACAGAGAGAAGGAATCCAAGCTGAAAAACACTCTTCAGGATATTATCCAGAAGAACATCCCCAACCTAGCAAGACAGGCCAATATTCAAGTCCAGGAAACATAGAGAACACCACAAATATATTCCTGAGGAAGAGCAACCCCAAGGCACATAATCATCAGATTCACAAGGGTTGAAATGAAGAAAAAAAAATGCTAAGGGCAGCCAGAGAGAAAGGTCAGGTTACCCACAAAGGGAAGAAAGTCAGACTGACAGCAGATCTCTCAGCAGAAACCCTACGAGCCAGAAGAGAGTGAGGGCCAATATTCAACGTCCTTAAAGAAAAAAACTTTCAACCTATAATTTCACATCCAGCCAAACTAAGCTTCATAAGCAAAGAAGAAATACAATTATTTATAAACAAGCAATTGCTGAGAGATTTCATGATCACCAGGCCTGCCTGAAAGAAGTACTAAACATAGAAAGGAATAACCAGTACCAGCCACTCCAAAAACATACCAAATGGTAAAAAGCATTGAAACCATGAAGAAACTGTGTCAACTAACAGGCAAAACAACCAGCTAGCATCAAAATGGCAGGATCAAATTCACACAGAACAATATTAACCTTAAATGTAAATGGGCTAAAAATGCCCCAATCAAAAAACACACACTGGCAAATTGGATAAAAAGCCAAAACCCATTGGTGTGCTGTATCCAGGAAACCCATCTCACATGCAAGGACATACATAGGCTCAAAATAAAGGGATGGAGGAAGATTTACCAAGCAAATGGAGAGCAAAAAAAAGCAGGAGTTGCAATCCTAGTCTCTGATTAAATAGACTTTAAACCAACAAAGATCAAAAGAGACCAAGAAGGGCATTACATAATGGTAAAGTGATTAATGCAACAAGAAGAGCTAATGATCCTAAATATATACGCACCCAACACAGGAGCACCCAGATACATAAAGCAAGTTTTTAACGACCTACAAAGAGACTGAGACTCCCGCACATATCGTCAAAATGGAAAGAGCTAGAGGAGCAAGATCAAAGAAACTCAAAAGCTAGCAGAAGACAAGAAATAACAGATCAGAGCAGAACTGAAGGAGACAGAAACACAAAAAAACCCTTCAAAAAAATCAATAAATTCAGGATCTGGTTTTTTGAAAAGATCAACAAAATAGACAAACCACTAGCCAGATTAATAAAAAAGAAAGAAGAATCAAATCGATGCAGTAAGAACTGATAAAGGGGATATCACCACCGACCCCACAAAAATACAAACTACTATCAGAGATTACTACAGAGAACTCTATGCACACAAACCAGTAAACCTGGAAAAAATGGATAAATTCCTGGACACTTGCACCCTTCCAAGCCTAAACCAGGAAGAAGTCAAAACCCTGACTAGACCAATAACAAGGACTGAAGTTGAGGCAGCAATTAAGAGCCTACCACCCAAAAAAAGCCCAGGTCCAGATGGGTTCACAGCTGAATTCTACCAGACATACAAACATGAGCTGGTACCATTCCTTCTGAAACTATTCCAAACAATCCAAAAAGAGGGACTCCTTCCCAAATCATTTTATGAGACCAACATCATCCTGTTACCAAAACTGGGCAGAGACTCACCAAAAACAAGAAAACTTCAGGCCAGTATCCATGTTGAACATAGATGCAAAAATCTTCAATAAAATACTGGCAAACCAATTGCAACAGCACATCAAAAAGCTTATCCATCACAATCAAGTAGGCTTTATCCCGGGGATGCAAGGCTGGTTCAACATATGCAAGTTTATAAATATAATCCACCACAGAAACAGAACCGAAGATAAAAACCACATGATTATCTCAATAGATGCAGAGAAGGCCTTTGAAAAAATTCAACAGCCCTTTATGCTAAAAACTCTCAATAAACTAGGTTATTGATGGAACGTATCTCAAAATAATAAAAGCTATTTATGACAAACCCACAGCCAATATCATACTGAATGGGCAAAAACTGGAAGCATTCCCTTTGAAATCTGGCACTAGACAAAGATGTCCTCTCTCACCACTCCTATTCAATATAGTATTGGAAGTTCTAGACAGAGGATTCAGGCAAGAGAAAGAAATAAAGGGTATTCAATTAGAAAAGGAGGAAGTCAAATCATCTCTATCTGCAGATGACATGATTGTATATTTAGAAGACCCTATCATCTCAGCCCAAAATCTCCTGAAACTCATAAGCAACTTCAGCAAAGTCTCAGGATACAAAATCAGTGTGCAGAAATCACAAGCATTTCTATACACCAATAACAGACTTAAAGAGAGCCAAATCAAGAAATGCCATTCACAATTGCTACAAAGAGAATAAAATACCTAGGAATACAACTAACAAAGGATGTAAAGGTCCTCCTCAACAAGAACTACAAACCACTGCTCAACGAAATAAGAGAGGACACAAACAGATGGAAGAACATTCCATGCTCATGGTTAGAAAGAATCAAGATCGTGAAAATGGCCATACTGCACAAAGTAATTTATAGATTCAACACTATCCTCATCAAGATACCTATGACCCTCTTCACAGAACTGGAAAAAAGCCACCTTAAACTTCATATGGAACCAAAAGAGAGCCCACATAGCCAAGACAATTCTAAGCAAAAAGAACAAAGCTGGAAGCATCACACTACCTGACTTCAAACTATACTACAAGGCTACAGTAATCAAAACAGCATGGTACTGGTACCAAAACAGAGATATAGACCAACAGAACAGAATAGAGGCCTCAGAGGCAATGCCACACATCTACAACCATCTGATCTTTGACAGACCCAACAAAAACAAGCAATGGGGAAAGGATTCCCTGTTGAATAAATGGTGTTGAAAAAACCGGCTAGCCATGTGCAGAAAGCAGAAACTGGACCCCTTTCTGACACCGTACACTAAAATTAACTCCAGATGGATTAAAGACTTAAACATAAGGCCTAACACTATAAAAACCCTAGAAGAAAACCTAGGCAAAACCATTCAGGACATAGGCATAGGCAAGGACTTCATGACTAAAACACCAAAAGCATTGGCAACAAAAGCCAAAATAGACAAAGGGGATCTAATTAAACTCCAGAGCTTCTATACAGCAAAGGAAACAATCATTAGAGTGAACTGGCAACCAACAGAATGGGAAAAAATTTTTGCAATCTACCCATCTGACGAAGGGCTAATATCCAGAATCTTCAAAGAACTAAAACAGATTTACAAGAAAAAAAAAAACAAACCCATTCAAAAGTGGGTGAAGGACATGAATAGACACTTTTCAAAAGACATTTATGAGGCCAACAAACATATGAAAAAATCCTCATCATCACTGGTCATTAGAGAAATGCAAATCAAAACCATGTTGAGATACCATCTCACGCCAGTAAGAATGGCGATCATTAAAAAATCTGGAGACAACAGATGCTGGAGAGGATGTGGAGAAATAGGAACACTTTTACACTGTTGGTGGGAGTGTAAATTAGTTCAACCATTGTGGAAGACAGTGTGGCGATTCCTCAAGGACCAAGAAATAGAAATTCCATTTGACCCAGCAATCCCATTACTGGGTATATATCCAGAGGATTATAAATCGTTCTTTTATAAAGACATATGCACACGTATGTTCATTGCGGCACTGTTTACAATAGCAAAGACCTGGAACCAACCCAAGTGCCCATCGATGAAAGGCTGGACAGAGAAAATATGGCACATAAACCATGGAATACTGTGCAGCCATAAAAAACGATGAGTTTGTGTTCTTTGTAGGGACATGGATGAATCTGGAAACCATCATTCTCAGAAAACTGACACAAGAACAGAAAAACAAACACTGCATGTTCTCCCTCATATGGACACAGGGAGGGGAGCATCACACACTGGGGTCTGTTGTGGAGGAATAGAGGAGGGACAGCGGGGGGGTAGGGAGGTTGGGGAGGGATAACAGGGGGAGAAATGGAAGATATAGGTGGCAGGGGGATGGAGGCAGCAAACCACATTGCCATGTATGTATGTATGCAACAATCCTGCATGTTTTGCACACGTACCCCAGAACCTAAAGTGCAATATATATATATAAATTCTCAATTTCACCTAGACTAAGAAGCCCAGTGTCAAGAAGTGATACTCCATTGTGTTTTATTAAAATACGTAAATGAGTCATGAATAGCAGTATCCTAAAAGACATCATATTTCACATCTAGAGGGGACCTTCCCTGGCTGCCATCCCTCCCTGGTCACCAACCCTCATGTGGCCTTCCCATCAGCATCAGTGAAGAGGGGACCCCTGTTCTACCCCATCCCCCACTAGGACAGTATGGGGATGGGATAGTGTCCTCTGGGATCCTCGATGTTGCCTCCAGACCACACTCCCTCTCGCTGCCCTAAAACTCAGGCTGGAATCTTATATCATCAAACAGGCCCATTCCCTGCCTATCTCATTGCAAACACCTGGGTCATTCCCATCTCTCCTTCAAGATTTTGTCCATAGTTCACTGCCATTCTCTTTACTACTGCTCCTTTATTCTATTTCTTCCAAGATACTGACCTCAGAATTCCTTGATAATGCTCCAATAAGCTTGTCTTCCATCTACCTCAACCATCCAATCCATGGTCAACTCCTAGACATTGTCACTACGAAAAACTTCAAACTCTCTGTAGCTGATTACTGATCAAGCACCACTCTCGATATTCCCAGCTCAACATTCCTCCGTCCCCTTCTTTTGGTCTTTCAGGGACATACACTAAAAATCCAAACTCATTTTCACAGCCCCTAAATTCCTCCATGATACATCTTCTGCCTACTTCTCTGGCCCTGTCTCCTACCCCTCTCCCTATCACTCAGTACTCTCCAACCCTGCTGACCTTTTTGCAATTCCTCAAACATACTAAATACATTCTATGTAAGCACCTTGCAAGTGTTCTGAATGTCCTCTGTGTGTCTCTCTCACTTTCTTCAAATCTTTGTTAAAAGTACCTTCTCACAGTGGCTCACGCCTGTAATCCCAGCACTTTGGGAGGCCGAGGCGGGTGGATCACGAGGTCAAGAGATCAAGACCATCCTGGTCAACATGGTGAAACCCCATCTCTACTAAAAATACAAAAAATTAGCTGGGCATGGTGGCACGTGCCTGTAATCCCAGCTACTCGGGAGCCTGAGGCAGGAGAATTGCCTGAACCCGGGAGGCGGAGGTTGCGGTGAGCCGAGATCCCGCCATTGCACTCCAGCCTGGGTAACAAGAGCGAAACTCCGTCTCAAAAAAAAAAAAAAAAAGGTACCTTCTCAATGAGGCCCTCCTAAACTTCTCTAACACTGCAATTCCTCCACCTACCAATTCACCCATAGGACATACTCCCTTCCCACTTTATTTTTTTCCACTACACCTATCACTTTCTAGCATACCATGTTATTGACTATTTTGTACATAGTCTGTTTCTTCTGGCTACAATTTAAATTTCATGAGGAGGGCAGAGATTTTTGTCTGTTTTGTTCAGTGCAGTATCCTTGGTACCTAGAAGAGTGCATGGCTCATAGTGGCCATTCAATTGATTTTTCTTTCTTTTTGCATGAGGAAAATTAGATTTTGCAAATGTGAAACAATTTTTAAAAAACGCTAAATCTCACCTCTACATAAAATTTTAAATCTATCAATGTTTTAGAATGTTTTAAGAATCATCTAATTTCACTTTTATCGGGTTTAAGATTAAAATTTATATTTTTGCCATGTAATTTTGCTTCTTTAACAGAAACACATGATATCTATTATAAATTGTGTCCCTCCCCCCAGCTCAAAACTCATGTTGAAGTCCTCACCCCCAGGACCTTAGAATGTGGCTTTATTTGGAGATAGGGCCAGTGAAGAGATAATCAAGTTAAAATGGCGTCATTAGGGTGGGCCCTAATCCAATCTGATGGATGTCCTTAGGAGAAGAGGGGATTAGGACACAGGCAACACAGGGGAAAGGCCGTGAGAGGACACAGTGGGAAGCCAGGAACACATCTAGAAGAGAAAAAGAGAGCCCTCAGAAGGAACCAACCATGCCACACCATGGTCATGGACTTCCAGCCTCCAGAATTTAAGAAAATAAACATCCATTGTTTCAGCTCCCTCAGTCTGCGGTATTCTGTGATGGCAGTCCTGGCACACAAATGCAACGTCCCTGTCAGGATTAGTCTTAAATGACATATATTTCTGGTAATTATGCAAGGTCTTCAAGAATATATCCCTCCCATAAAACTCAACAGCCCCATCAGGAGCCGAAAGAGCCCTGATAGATGACGTGGTCTGCTTTTGGGGTGTCTGCAGAGAAAAGCTGTGTCCATGGTGGGGAGGTGTTCCTCTTCGTCCTGCAGACATGAACATATAAAGATAGGAATCTTCAGGAAGGGGAGAATGGCCTCTCACCCCCAGATGCACACCTGCTGAGTTGCAGGAGAAACAGGTAAGCCCATGCTGGTGCCACCAACAGAACCAAGAGTGGTGAGAGTGAGGGCTCTTGAGAGAGCGTTCTGGGAGTATTTGTGTGTCATTCTGGCTGGACATTGAATGTCTCAGTATCCGACAGGCACCAAGCACCGTGTGGTTTTATGTTTGCTGCTTTCTTAATTCCCCCTTCTTTCTCTCTTTTTCAAGGTATGAATCCGTGCTTGCCCTTCCCTCTCTCCCCTTCAGCATCTCACCTACCACCCTCTGCCTCTAACTACAAGACTGAAATATGATGTGTTTTACAACTCTAGTTACATGCAGTTTTCAAACTAATAATACAGAAGATCAATTTCAACTAGCTTTTCATCTTTCCAGCAAGGTGAAGATGCTTCGTAGTTATATGTCCTGCCCCTGACTTATACCTCTGGGCTAGTGTCCCTATAGTGCTGTCCCTTCTGGTGTCCCTTCCTGCTAGAGTGCAGGAAGCCAGGAGCCAGCCTGGCTTGGGCTCTGAGCAGCATACCAAAGGCAGGCAGCTCTCACCTCTACAGCAGGGCTGCAAAGCGGAGGTGAGTGCTGGTGCGTGCTATTGCCATGGAAACCCACTCCCACTCCTCCAGCAGCAGAGGAAGGTGGGGCCTCCGGTCTGTTCCACTATGTGCTCTGAAAAAAAAAATGGCTCATCTGTCCCAGACCCCTCTTGTAGGAAAAAGAGGCCTTTTCAGAAGGGAGTGTAGACACAAATCCTCCCAGGAGCCTATGCACAGAGATACAGGGGGCCACTTAGCACTCCTTCTTCCTGCCATGATTGAATTCCACAAACTGATCATTTGTCTACTCCAGACATGACACTGGACTTGAAGACTGCAAGGATAAAGACGACCCTCAACCAAGTTTACTCTGGATGGAGAGACAGATCTGCTGTTTGTTTGTTCCTATTGCTTGAGCACATGCAGCTAAGGTCCCCAAAGCCACTAAGTGTAGCATATTCTAAAGTTAGCTCTGGGTTTGCCAAGAGATGTTAGCCCTCGGAGCATCAACCATCAAGAGCAGAAAGAGGCCTGATAAATGAGGTGGTCTGCTTTTGGGGTGTCTGCAGAGAAAAGCTGTGTCCATAGTGGGAGAGTTGTTCCTATCCTTCCTGCAGCCATGAGAACCTTTTAAATGAACATATAAAGATAGGAATCTTCAGGAAGGGGAGAATAGCCTCTCACCCCCAGATGCACAACTGCTACCAACTGAACCAAGATGGCGAGAGTGAGGGCTCTTGAGAGAGTGTTCTGTGAGTATTTGTCATTTTCAGTCTTCTCACTGCACTATGGGGAGAAGAGGAGGATCACTGGCATATGGAGACTGACTTGAACTTAAAGATTGGTACCTGCTCCTGGTCCAGAGATTTCTCATGGTGGGACACCTGCTGGAGTACCCAGACCTGCAAGGAAACCTTTACCCATCCTGGTTCTGCAGTCTTTAAAGGGGATAGAAAAGACCCCAGTGGTTAATAATGGAAGGTCAAAGACCACAAACAGCGCCTAGACCAAGCAATAGGAAGACCCACTTGGGAAAGGTGTGGGAAGAGCTGCCACTCTCAGGAGGGACAGGGTCCCCAGGAGGAGAGAGTGATTCGCTACACAAGGACCTCCCCATGAGCAGAGGTCACCAGCATTGTACAGAGTGCAACAGCCAGAACAAAGCCAGCACACTCCCCATAAACAACAGGTGGCCTGTCACAGGAGCAGACTCTCTTCTCCCTCCAGTTGTCCTCCCAGGCTTGGGGCAAGACTAAGCTCCCACAAGGGTCCTAATGCCGGAAGGGGAGAGGGGATGTGTGTGGAGAGCAGAGCATACACATGGGCTTTTGCCCAGCCCTTGCCTGTGCTGGGGGAGAGGGAGAAGAGCCTGAAATAGGCTCGAAGCTCAAGTTTTAAAATAAGCAAAGTTTAATCTTAACCAAAATTAATTGGAAACCTATGAAATCTGTCTGAATACTGCTCAGCATCACCCAACACCCAGAAGGGAAGAGAAGTCAACAAAACACAACTGGTGATGGTTAAGAAAGAAAACCAGCTCATGCGGTAAACAGGTTACACTTGGGCTTGGCAGGGTGCAGATCATCAGGTGACCAGGAGCTGTCTAGGATGGGAGAAGCTGACCTCCTAGACTTGTGCCTGCCCCCACCACTCTCTGGAAACCTTGAAGGCAGGCTCTCTGGCCCTCATGCTGTGTGATGCTAACAGTGGGTACGGTGCAGCCATTGGGTCTCTAGGAACCTGGATCCCCAGGGACCGATAACATCTTTACTCATTTCAGCAAGTCCCTAAGCACCTGCCACATGCTGGGCAGAGAATACAACCATGCACAGGACGCATCTCATCCAGCTCCCAGTGTAACTGAGGAGAGGGCCATATACAGCATGGTCAGTGTAAGAAAAAAGCTAAGGTCTGGGGCTAATTGAGCAATTTAGGGGACATAGGGCCTGATCTTGGGGTATCAGAAAAGGCTTCTGGTAAGAAAAGCATCTCATTGGAGTACTAGAGATGGACAGGTGTGGGCCACGCAAATCAGGAGAAAAAATGACACCACCAAGGAGCCACCACAAGGCCATGGGAGCCACATTGAACAACTCAGACTTCTTCCTGGTGGCACAGGGACAACATTACAAAGTAAATGAAATAGGGAATGAGTGCTCGATGAGCATGGGTTTATACCATGGGGTGATGAAAGTGTTCTAAAATCAGACAGTGGTTTCAGTTGCATATACTGCATGTATTTCAACCCACTAAATTGTACATTTTTAAATGGTGAATTTTATGTGAATGTTACCTCAATTTAAAAAATAGTACCTGGAAGAAACTTTCAATTCCAACCAAGATGGAGTAACAGGGACCAGATTTACTCTCCTGCCTAGAACTAAAAAACAAGACAAAATATATGAAACAAGGGCTTCCCAAAGAGTAGACATCAGGCGACAAAGGACAGCAATGCCTAAGGAATGTGAAATAAGTGAGGTGACAAAAAGAAAAAAACAAAAAAATAAATAAGTGAGGTGAGCCCGATAACTGTCCTCGCTGACTACTTTGAGTGTCCAGGCCTCAGAGTAGGGAAGAAAGGTAGGCAGGCAGAGCCCAGTGAATTTCCTGAGTTGAAAAGACAGCAGAGTCAGGTCAAGGCAGACCAAGTCTGCAGAGCACTGGAGAGTAGAGAGTTGCACAGAGAGAACCCTGGAAATTTGCAGGTCTCCTGGAAATATTCAGAAGAGCACTGATCTGTACATGCATATGAGAAAACTAGCCGGAAGGATCAGAGGGAAGAATTCCTGGAGCTCACACAGGGCTAGGAATAGCTATACTGGAAAACCTCATAATTCAGGGAGCAGCAAGCAGAGTCCTACGAGTCTGATACTTCAGTAGTAGGGGGAAATTAACCCTGGACTAAACGCTGCTCTGGTGTTGCCTAACCTTAAAGGCAAGTCTCAAATGAATCAAATTGCATCTAGGTAACTTACCCATACTCCAGAACAAAGGTTAAGAATATTAATAGAAATGTAAAAACACCCAGCATGAAAAAAAGGTAAAATCCATGGCTGGCATGCAAAGAAGTAGGAAAATACAACTTGTGATAAGAAAGAAGAAATGGTAGCAACATAACAGTATTCCTGTTAGCTCCTACTCTAAGGTACAGAATCCTGAGAGGCAGGCTCAGAGGTGGTACAGAGAAAGGTAGAAAGTTTAGTTACAAAGTTGCAAATAAAGTCTTATTTCAAAAGCATCAGATTTTAAAAAAATAGCAAGAACCCCCCACAAGATGCAAATTATCTATATTAATGGAGAAGCATCTGCTTAAAGTTCTCAGTCTCAACACACATTATGCACATTGCAATCTGATTAACAGCAGATGAAAAGATCAGATCCCTCCATGCTCAGTTCTAACACAGAGGACCGCAATTAATTGGTAAGGGACTGACTAGTCCCTTTGCTCCCAGCCCTTGGTTCCCCCTACCACAAAAGACAATTTTCCAACGTTTCAGTTTGTGTTGCAGAATATGAAGTCATTCATTACCACACTTTTTTTTTGAGACAGTCTTACTCTACCACCCAGGCTGGAGTACAGTGGCATGATTATGGCTGTTCAAGTTGTAACTTTGAACTCCTGGGTTCAAGCAATCCTCCTGCCTCAACCTCCTGCAGCTAGGACTACAGGCATGTCACCACACCCAGCTAATTATTAATTTCTTATAAACAAGGGTGTCACTACATGGCCCAGGGTGATCTCGGGCTCCTGGGATGAAGCAGTCCTCCCACCTCAAACTCTCAAAGTGCTCGGATTACTGGCATGAGCCACTGTGTCCAACCTATACTTTGCTTTTCTTAGCGGCCCTGTTTTACCTGAGGATGCTAAACCTAATACTGTCCCCTACAGCCAAGTGCCCTAGTTGTCTTATGGTATTATCTTCTCTTAGAAGTCTGCCTTTCTACTAATTACAGAAAGTCACACAGATTCAGTTATATTTAGAAGGTAAAACGTTTTCAAGTCAGGATAAGTGGTTGTAGGTGTTCTTAGTATTTCATGCCTAATACCTTTCAGCTTCCTCCAATAATAATGTCAAAGGGTTCACATTCTAACTTGACCATAGAAGCTACTGATATATCAAGGGAAAGGCTTCCTATCAAGCAAAGGTCAAATTCAGGTCCATACATGGCCCAAGCAAGTCAAGTGAGTTAAGCAGGCTAGGTCTGAGAAGAGACACAAAAAGTAAAAGGTTCACTTCGGTTCTTACTAAGGCCATTTAAGGCAGGGTCTGTGAGATGAAAGCCTACATTCCACCTAAAAGGCAGCAGCCAGCAATCCACCTCTCTAGCCGCAGTAAGAGTTGAATAAAAACAGGATCTACTACGGACACATCTCTCTTCAACAGAATCTCCAAAGCCAGATTGGTGAAATAGTGGGATTATAAATAGTGGAAATTGTAAGGCCTGTTGCCTCACCGGGAGTTAAACTGACACGTCCATCCCTGCTTGCACCTGATAACTGTGTTATTATTCTGAGCACATTACTCAGCATCTGGCTTCTCCACATGAATTCACTTACCTCTGCTACTGCACCCAGATCTACATTCAGCACCAAACTAAGCGCTCAACCCCAGCCCAAGGCCAAAAAACACCTATTCAAAACTTGCTATGCTTTGTTTCCCCAATAACCAATCACATCTCCATCCACACTGTCTCCCTATAACCAATGAAATCGCCTATGCTGTTTCCCCAATAACCAATCATGTCCCCAGCCAGCCCACCTACCAATGGCAACTCACCACATCCATGCCCTGTCTCCCTATAAACAATTAAATCGCCTATGCTTTGTTTCCCCAATAACCAATCAATCGCCTCCACTCCCCATAAAACCCCACTCCCCATAAAACCCCACACGCTGAGAAGTCAAGCGCAACTTCTCGGGCCCTTTACCCAATCATAGAACTTCTCCTGGAAGCTGAATATATTGGCTTTTCATTTTCTTACACTGGCCTCAGTTTCCTCATTTTGACTCGGTAATAGACCTTACAGAAATGATGATGGCTTTTAAAATATCATCTACCCCCACCCTCAAAAAGAAAACCTATGAGCAACCATTTGCAATCTCTATTTTGATTCCAACCTCAGAATTCAGATCAAAATGCCAGCTCTATCATTTTCTAGCTCTTCATACCTTTGACAAATCAATAAACTTCTGAACCTCATTCTTATCTGAAAAATAGTGTCAAACATTAAACATAATGTTTCTCAAATACTAATATCCAACACAAGGTAAACAACTAAATACAGTTTCCTATAGGTGGAGTGTGAAACTTACTCTCAGTAAATTACCTGCAGTGATCTTTAAAGAACCTAATTGAAGATCCCAAGGAGATTGAGTTCTTAGAAGATTTAGAGCCTTTCAATACTGAGTATTAAAGTCATTAGAAACTAAGTAGAACCAGCAATAAAGAATGCCTAGCAACAGATACTTAATGAGTTGGAAGTAGCTCTTCTAATTAAGAGATCTAATAACTGTCACTCGTTAATGGCCACAAAACTCAATAAAGTACACATTGAGAAGGATACTTTTCAGAGAAAACAGTGGTGGCTTCTAAAATAAGCTGTTAAAACAAACCAAAGGGATTTAAGTTTTTAGAAATCAGACAAGTTTCTTGTCACATCATAGACTCTTTGGTTAAACACCTCAGCTAGCTATCACATTGTTGTAAGTAACCTCCGTGGAAGAGCAATCACAATACTAGGAAGAATCTGTTAAAGAATGCTTTATTAATACAAATACAAACTCTAAAGCACTAAGAAATTTAAATATCTATGTCACAGCAAACAGGTGGCAATTCAACATCCAGGGTCGACAGAATGCTTGAAGGAGACTGCAACAGATCTAGAAAACAGGAATCTTATTAAATTTCTGCAAATCCTTGAGTCATTGTTCATATCAACATAGACATTAGCTGTCAATCAAAAACTCATGTTACTCCCTTTGCCTAATGAATCACCTCCATCCCCCTCTTGATGTGTACTTTTTGGAATGTGTCTGTGGCCCCAGAATTGACTTTCATTAGGAAGTTTTAGAAGTATCTGAATCTCTATTGTTCTTAGAGACCAAAGAAAGAGCTAACGAGCTCAATAATGCAACTTATTAACACAAATTATCCCACAACAGAACAAATAGAAAACATAACGATGGCTTTGACTAACAGTTCAAACTAAGACCTCAGACCTTCCTTAAGAAGTTATTGTCAGTCTATGCTACAGCACAGGTGTTTTGATCTTACACCAGCTTTGGATATAACATGGAATCATCAGTCCAAACAAATTTATTATATATGCTTCAACTTACAGCCTAAGAAGATACAAATGAATTCATCTATTTGCTGTGGATAAAACTATCCAGTTTCCAGAATAACAATTGCACTGGGGCATTTGGGACTAAAAAGTAATACCAATTGAGAATAGTTTCTCTTTTCTTTTTTTTTTTTTTTGAGACAGAGTTTCACTCTTGTTACTCAGGCTGGAGTGCAATGGCGCAATCTCGGCTCACCGCAACCTGCACCTCCTGGGTTCAGGCAATTCTCCTGCCTCAGCCTCCTGAGTAGCTGGGATTACAGGCACGCGCCACCATACCCAGCTAATTTTTTTGTATTTTTAGTAGAGACGGGGTTTCACCATGTTGACCAGGATGGTCTCGATCTCTCGACCTCGTGATCCACCCGCCTCGGCCTCCCAAAGTACTGGGATTACAGGCGTGAGCCACCACACCCGGCCGAGAATAGTTTATTTTTCTGAACCTTATCCTTGTCATTTGAAGGACAGAAATTACTCACAGGCTAACTTCCCGCACAACTCTGTTCCCAAGGTAATGAAAGTGTTATGAAACAAATTGTTTGCAGCCCTTCTAGAAGGGCACTTGCTCACTTACCGGATTCCCATGGTGGAGAGGGCATCTTCACAGGTGAAGGAGGGCCCAGCTGAAACAGCTTTTCAAGCTCTCTCTCCTCGTCAAGGATCATAAGAGGCACTCCACTCAAGGGTAGGTGTGCAATCTGGTGCTCTTCAGGCAGGTCAAAACTCTCAAAGTCTGTGACAGAGAGAAAGTGTTTATATCAGAGCAGCAGTTCTTAGCGTGAGCTGTAGATCCCTTGTGGTCTGAGACCCCTTTCAGGTGGTCCATGAGGTCAAAACTATTTTCATGATAACATTCCACCTTTTCCCACAGGGCTGACATTTGTAATGATGGCACAAAGGCAATGATGGATAAAGCTGCTGGTACCTCAACACAAATCAAGGCAGTGACAGTAAAGCATATTAGCAGTCTCTATGTTCTCCATCTCTCTTCACTTGTAGTTTAAAAATGCCAGTTTCACTTAATGTCACTTCACCACATGCAGTAAGTATTAATTTTATTAGCTCTCGATCCTTGAGAAAATGTCTTTTTAATGTCCTGTGTGAAAAATTAGAAGTATGCCATAAAGCACTTCCATTGTACACCAAAATACGATTATCTCAAAGCAAAACGATTTGTGCAATCATCTGAGCTGCGAGCTAAAACTAGAGAACTTTTTCCTGGAATACTGTTGTTATTTGAACTGCAAGAAATCCATGGTCACTCAGACCTGGATACTTGTCACACATTTTCTCAATGAAATGAAAGAAGTCTATCATCTCAAGGAAAACTGACAGTCTTTGTTGCCAATGACAGAATATAAGATGTCAAAATTTTGCCAAAAACAAAAGAAGGAATTTTTTTTAGAGATGGAGTCTCATTCTTTCACCTATACTGCAGTGCAGTGACACAATCTCCATTCACTGCAAACTCCACCTCCTGGGTTCAAGTGATTGTCCTGCCTCAGCCTCCCAAGTAACTGAGATTACAGGCCCAGCTTTTTTTTTTTTTTTTTTTTTTTTTAGTAGAGACAGGGTCTCACCACGTTGGCCAGGCTGGTCTTGAACTCCTAACCTCAGGTGATCTGCCCACCTTGCCTCCCAAAGTGCTGGCATTACAGGTGTGAGCCACTACGTCAGGCCAAAAAAGGAATCTCAGAAAACTTATCTGCAGTAATTAGCTTGACAGGTGCCTTAGACTTTTCTGATGAGATCAGTTGTGATATTAATGCTTTTAATATTGTATAATAAAGCACTTCAACGTGGGGTATCTACATATCTCAGTGAATCAATATTTCTGAATGATCAATGCAAGATAGATGTGAGAATAAGAGATACATTCCAAGTGCAAAATAGACTAATGGATTTTACTGTCAAAATACAAACTTAATTTCAAAATACAAAATGCTCATTGATAGGGTTTTGGATTCCCCATTGCAATTACATATTCAGAAACAGCCACTTGTGAGTTTTAGTGTAGTGGCAAAGAAAACTATCCACATTTACCTGAAAAGACTCTTAAAAACATATCTGTGTGAGGCCAGGTTTTCTTTGTATATTTCAACCAAAACAGATGTAAGATTGTATACAGAATTTGACAAGAAGCCAGTTGTCTTGTATTAAGACAAATAAAGCAAATTTTCAAAAATATAAACCATGCCATTCTTCTCAAAACTTTTCCAAAACAAAAAACATTTTATATTAAAAAATGTATATTAATGTAATGTGATTTAGCAAATAAATATCTTAAGTTTCTCAGTTTTAATTTCTAATACAGAAAAGAACAGATCACATAAGCAAAAGTGGTCTTTAATAATTTCTAAGAGTGTCAAACCAAAAATAAATTGAGAACCACTGTGTTAGGTAACATTCCTTCTTAAAATCCAAGTACCTTACTTCTTAGCAACTTTTTTTTTCCGAGATGGAGTCTTGCTCTGTCACCCAGGCTGGAGTGTAGTGGCATGATCTTGGCTCACTGCAACCTCCACCTCCCAGGTTCAAGCAATTCTCCTGCCTCAGCTCCCAAGTAGCTGGGATTACAGGCACCTGCGACCGCACCTAGCTAATTTTTGTATTTTTAGTAGAGAGGAGGTTTCACCATGTTGGCCAGGCTGGTCTCAAACTCCTGACCTCAAGTGACAACCCCCACCCCCACCCCTGCCCCCTGGCCTCCCAAAGTGCTGGGATAACAGGCATGAGTCACTGTATCTTAGCAAATATTTAAAACAAGCAATTGTTTTGTACAGTAACAAAAGTATAATTTAATACTGAATTTTCTTTTCAAGGAGATTAAGTGTTTTCTCAAAAGATTAGAAAATCATAGCTCTCCTCATCTTTGTCCTTAGGTGTGAAAGTTCTCTAAAGCCTAAGTACTCAAGAATTAAGTTTGCTCTGGGCTGGCACAGTGGCCCATGCCTGTAATCCCAGCACTCTGGTGGTGGGGAGGGGTGAAGCCCCATCTTTACTAAAAATATAAAAATTAGCCAGGCGTGGTGGCGGGTGCCTGTAATCCCAGCTACTAGGGAAGTTGAGGCAGAGAATTGCTTGTACCAGGAGGTGGAGGTTGCAGTGAGCCGAGATTGTGCTACTGCACACCAGGCTGGGCAACAGAGCAAGACTCCCATCTCAAAAAAAAAAAAAAAAATAGTCTGCTCTTTTTCAAGCCTGGTTAAACCCAGAAGTCAAAAAGGAAGTGAATGATATGTGACTACTTAACTTAAAACCACTGAATTGTAAAGGAAACTATAAACAGGCAAAAAACTCCAGAGGAAAGAAGTCTGCATTATACATAAGGGAAGCTAATTTTATCTACAAAGAGCTCTTTAATCAAAGAAAAAAACAAACAGGAAGTTAACAAAAAAAAAAGCAAAACTGAAATCTGAAAAACATGTCTTCACTGTTTTATGTAGAATTTTCTAACCAAAGAAATAATCCTACCAAAGTACTCTCAGGCGCTGCTCAACTTGACATAAAGCTCGCTTTCTAAAAACCTTGTGAGAAAGACTGTACACAGTAAATCACTCAATGTTCATGAATAGATCTTACTTCCTCTGGGTGATAAGCTTTTACAGAGAGAAACAATGTCTTCTACATCTTTGCTCCTATTCCCCTCCTGACCTAAGACAATACCTTGCAAGTAATTCCATCAACAGGTACACTTGTCCAAAGCAACCCAGATTCAGACAGTCTCATTATAGTTTTTGGTCATACATTATATTCCTATCAAGTTACAGCTGATCTGAATACTAAGAAACTAAAGGCCAAAAGCAAGTTTCCGCAATTGCAAAAGATACTACCTAGAGGATTGAAGGGAAAAAATTTTTCTATTTCTGGATAGGCATCATCTGAGGCAGGAACAGAGCTTTTTGCTTTAACAGTCTTCCCAGTCATCTAGAGCAACCAAAGAAAATGAGTTAGTGAGAGGAAGTATTATCAGCTATTTAGTTTTTAAATTTGTCAATTTCATGCTGCCTTCTAAGAAGATAATCCTTAGTTTTCCTATTCACACCTAAATATACTTCAATAGGATTTAAATGTAATTCGAGTAGCATGACTTAAAATTTAAATCTGAAATTTAAGTATCAGCCCCTGTCAGCATAAGTTATCAAGAATGCAGAGTTAATTCAGAGCTAATCAACACAATTATTCAACCTAACAGAAGAGCAAATGGGCATGAATCACCCAGGTCAGTAGCTAATCATCAAAACCATTTTTGGCTTATGGGAGTATGATTTTTTCCGTGTTACCTTAATTATTTGCATGGTTAATATTAAAAACAAGTTTGTGTTCCTCAAATAAACACACTGAGTAAGAGGCAGCAAGACACTGTCAAGACTTTATAAAAACACCATGGACAAGGAGCTGACAGGTCTACTACAATCTACTACAGGAGCGTGCCACAGTGGAAGCCTGCAGGTTCCTGATTTATCTCACCTCACATATGCATGCCTAGAACTCCCTGTGGGGTTCTTACACTTCGGTACTGTTCTTATTGCTTTTCCCGTATCTTTGCAATTCCTGTATTTAATATTTTTAATTCACTTTTAAGGAATACCTCCTAAGTTGCACTACATGTAATTCACTGGTTGTTTCCTAATGCAATTTTTTTAAAAAAAAAAAAAAAAAAACTTTTTTCTGTGTCACTTGTGCTGGAAAGAAAAAGTGTTTCAGGCTGGGCGCGGTGGCTCACGCCTATAATCCCAGCACTTTGGGAGGCCAAGGCGGGTGGATCACCTGAGGTCAGGAGATGGAGACCAGCCTGATCAATATGGTGAAACCGTCTCTTTAAAATATATATAATTTAAAAAAAGAAAAAGTGTTTCAAATAAAGTGTCAATCCACATGCTAACTTCATCTTTCACAGCAAAGTCCTCTGGGTCTGGGATACACAGGCCTGTAGCTTGTGACCCACACTCACAAAAATCAACATGCTAGCAAACTGTCATCTAACAAGCTGCTGCTTGCTCTGGAAGGCTAGGAGAATGGCAGCACCTGTGCTATTATAGCAGCAACAGAACCTCCTAAACTACCCTCTTCTCTCAATATGTATCTGTAAGTAGATAACAACCAATCTGTTTCAAGACACTAGTTAAAAACAGGTGAGGCAAAAATATGCATTAGATGCACGTGAGATTTCCTACGTCAAAGTACCGAGAAGCCACAAGGACAATGAGTCTCCTCCACTACTGTTTGCTAACCTCTACTTCCCTTCTACTCAGAGGGAAAAAAGCTAGGTAGGATGACGCCAAGGGTCATTTTAAGAGTCAAAAGTGCTTAAGTGTTTAAACAGTGTCTTTATAGCCAACACTCACCTTTTTGGCAGAAAAGCTTGGTTGTTTTTGATTGAGGAGTCCACTGGTCTTCACTGACTTTTCTGTAGCTCTGTTGACAGTTCCCAAAGCCTTTCTAGTAGCTTTAGGTAAGGCTGGTGGAGCATCATACGTTTTGCCAAAACGTGGTGTTGAAACTTGAGATCTCCCCTTTAAGGCTTTGACTGCTGAAGAAAAAGTCTTACCGTAAGAATACTCCAGCAGCAAAATACCTGTGCAACTTGAATACTGTGTATATAAACTTAACTCTCACCCCCAAACCCAAGCCCCATTCTTGGTAGTGGCATGACTATAATACACCTAATAGCGGAGATTCAGTACTCTTAAATCATCTCATTAAGATATTGAAAATGAAAAAGTACCGATAACAAACTTGACTGATTGCCCACAAAGTACACTAAATTGTCTCGTCCAGCTCCAGGCCACGTCCACAATATGAGTGTATCTGACTGCAGCCCTGTATACTTACAAGGTCCAGACCCCAGCTTCAGCCCATCCTTAGCAGCCACACGGGTGCCTGTTTCTCCATTTTCCTTATCAACATAGATCAAAGTAGCCATTCTGGATTATTCTAAAAATGAGAAATACATATTAGATATTGGGGAAGGTGCGAGAAGCTAAGGTACAGCAACAGTCCAGACTTTCTATCCCAGGGATGTTCACACAAAAACGAGAGCTAAACAGAGGGGCAATACAATGACGGGCTTCAGCCAACAAGTACTTCATCCAGCTCTTAAATCTTCCAGCCAGAGTCAGAGGTTCTAAGGTCCTGAGGAAGCAGGCTGTTTGGAGCTGGCACTCAGAGAATTGCCGCGAGTCCAGTTCTCAGTCAGAGACCGCGCTCATAGGGGCTCGGAGCCAGCTGCGCCCCGAGCAGTGCCCAAGCCCCAGCCCCAGCTCCAGCCCCAGCCCCAGCCCCAGCCCACCTCCTTCGCCGCCCGAACCGGTTCGCCCTACCAACCCGCGAACCTCCCGTTCACTCACAACGCTCTCAACAGCCACCTTCCTCTGACATCACAGGGAACGGACGCCGCGCACTCCCGGTTTAAACCACAACTCGCGGCCCAATTGGCTCTTCCGCCCAGGAGGCGGGGATGGGGGCGTGGTCACCAGGCAGAACCAATGGAGAGACCTAAGCAGCCAGGGCTCCTCCCCGAAAGCTTTTTTCTGCAAACTTCGTGGCACGTTTTCGGTGGGGGCGGGGCAAACTAGGATCGTGTACTATTTGAAAAAACTTGGGTGGCTTTGTTTTGCTCTCCATATTATTAAGCTTCATGGGCTGAGGTACTGGCTCAATAACAATGTTTTGTTGCTTTAAGATATTTTTATTTAAATGGCACTGTAGAAAGGATGGAAAATAAATAGAAATACTTTTGGAGATGGGGGAATAACCAGTGTTGGGTCTAAAGAATACTAGCAGAGAAGAATTTAAAATTAAGAAGAAATGTAAGTACAGAGAGATCAAACAGCAGCGTTTGAGTCATTCTGTTATGCTTATGAATAAGAACAAACTGATCATTCCCTAATCTTAGGACTATCCTCAATACTTCAGGCTAAGATGCTGTTTCTATTATACCATCACAAATCTGTCTTAGGAACAAAATGATGATTCTAATGAATACATAATTTAGTCTTCCCTTAAAATCCTATCATTTAATAGTGATTTATTTTAAACCTCTAACATCTCAAGAATATATTCCAAAGCTGCCTGGAAGGGCTTGGCCAGGGAGCAAGAGAACATCAGAAAGATAATAAAGGTATAAAAAAGGAATTCCAGTTTCCCAGATATGAAAATAAATTTTGCTTGCAAAAGTTGATGACCTTTTCCTGTTTCTATAGTAAATTGGAATATATTGAACAACTACAAGATAAAGGTACAAATTCAAAAAATCAAAGCTGACCTGTGTCATTCAAACTCTGCTTCCCACAGGTCACCATATATACATTTTAACCTGCAGATCAGCTGGGAGAGAGGAGTTGATTCCATATTACTCTTTCACAAAAGGTTTAACACTATACCTGACATAGACATGGTTCTCAATATATGCCAGTTCATCACCTCTTCTTCCCTGGCATTTCAGGACCAAAATTGATTGAATGATTCCTTCATTCACAAATATTTATTCAATACCTATTAAATGCTGGACATTATACTAGGTATCAAGATGAAAAGAGCCTAACCTAAGTGAAGAAAAGAGGAAAGACAGAAAAATATGCATACCTTTATTGTCTCTTCACTGTCTTCTTTATCCCCATCCCTTATTTCCTCCTGTAGCTCCTAAATTTTGCATCATCATATTATATTATCAGCACTCAAAGCGTTAAGTTTTTGAGACTAAATCTGTACAACACCTATAGCTTCCAAGTGGAGATTCTCTATAAAGGTTTTGGGGTGCAAGGTTTATCTCCTTAAGGTGTCTTCTATTTTCACAGCAGAAACCATTGTTTCTCCCAAGGTCATGCAACAGCTGTAAACTATAACCACCCTCTCTTTGACTAACGGCTATTTTCTTAGTAATGATGCCCCCAGACCAGCTTTGCTATTTCTATTACTGGAGATACTCATTTGCTAACCCACCCTCGCTCATAACAGCACTTAGTCCCTAATCAGTTTCTCCTAATCCTGCTTTACAAACAGCAACCCATCCAGAACCAATTCCCGCTTTCCTAGACCTTCCTTAGAACCCTCCAGAGGGACCTCAAGTCTTAGACTAAGATTGAACTCTCTTGTCCTGAGCATTCTGATTCCTCTTCAAGATGTGCTCTCCTGATGGTTTTGGCTAATTAGGCCTTAACACTCCTAAGCAAATTTCAGGAATGTTTTTAAGTGGAAAAAAGCAAAACCTGAGTGATTCATTGACTCTACTGCCTTATGTTCTCACAGCACCTGGTATTCCTTTCATAGCAACTTTTTACAACTCCTAAATTATCTGAATAGTTGTTTCGGTGTCTTTCACGCTCTGATGTAAATATGAGGAAAGACACTATGTTCACCAAAGCTCCAGCATGCTACTCTGACTCTATTTCTTCATCTACTGCTCTGTAAATGCAAAATTAACATTTGTTTTTTTTTTGAAGCAAAATCTTGCTCTGTGCTGAGCTGGAGTGCAATCTCTGCCTCCCAGGTTCAAGTGATTCTCCTGCCTCGGCCTCCCAGTAGCTGGGATTACAGGCGCACACCACCACATACAGCTAATTTTTGTATGTTTAGTAGATATGGAGTTTCACCCTGCTGGCCACGATGGTCTGGATCTCCTGATCTCATGATCCGCCCACCTCGGCCTCCCAAAGTGCTGGGATTACAGGCGTGAGCCACCGCGCCTGGCCTGCAAATTCTTAGTACAAAAAAATAGATTCTATTATGTTGAGTTATTTTATTGAGGCAGGGATTGCAGCTATTTTAACTTTTATATTCAAAAAGGACACACGTTATGGAGGGGAGAGGCAGAGAACAACTAGAATAGATAGCACAAATTTTAAAAATAACAAGAAATTCTACCACCAAAATTAGTTCATATTCCAGTATTTTATTTCCCATGTATACTTTTAAAGGAGGGATGGGATAGCATAGATACTGTTTCTCCAAAATGGAAATCGTCTTATGTTTTTCTAATGATAACATGCCTTATGTTCTCACAACACCCGGCATTCCTTTCACAGCAACGTTTTACAACTGCTAATTATCTGAATAGTTGTTTTGGTGTCTTTCGCACTCTGACGTAAATTTGAAGAAAGACACTGTTCACCAAACCCCCAGCATGTTACACAGCCTGGCTACTAATGAGTACCAATTTTAACTTTTTTTTTTTATATATAGCGGATACGTCACCAACTTCCCCATTCATTTCATAGTCCCCTGGTGAGGCTTAAGCTGTTGTCTGTTCTGGGTATTTTTTTTTTTAAACTTCCTAACATTCTCTGATTCTAAAAGAAACGGAAGTTCCTAAATAGAAGCCAAAAACAAACTGCCCAACTTGAATCTCTTCACAATCCGGATAAAAAGCTCGACACGCACACGCGACAACGGTGCTAGAGCACCGGAGGCCCCCCGCCCCCTCCAGGAAATTAGTGCGCATGTGCCATTCATCCGGAAGTTGTCTCAGTGGCTGCCGGAATAAGGCGGAAAGCCGGAAGTAAACATTACGAGATTACCCGAGCTTCTGTCTGATGGACTTAGGGTCAGGTTCTGCGGGACTGGGTAAGAAAATGTTCCTAGAACTTGCGGGCGAAGGGCAGTTGAGGAACCAGAGAAAGTGGGTCGAAGGCCTCTAATTACTGGATCTATCCTCACGGGGGTGATGAGCCCCCAGGTGTAGAGGGAGCGAGGCCCGGGGACCGAAAAGGAAGCCGCTGTCCTGAGACGCATTCATGGCACTCGTGCCCAGCCGGACCAGGCCTGCGTCTTCAGGGGAACAGTCGGAATGGCTATGAGAGTGTCGCCTTTGTGGCGGTGGTTTTAAGTACGCCTCGGAGACCTTGCGCGGTACCCGGACTGCGAGCGAGGAAAGCTGCTTCCAGTACCCAAATTTACAGACTATTTCCTCGTCAGAAAAATTTCCTTGAGCTTCAGTTTTTCCTGTTAGGTCGGAATGATCTGACTTCAGTAAAGTATCCTGAAAGTAAAATGAAAACATCTATGTAAATAAAGCGTTAGTGTCTTACGGTAAGCCCTCAGTAAATGGGAGCTGTTACTGTTTTTTTGTTTGTTTTTTGTTTTTGTTTTTTGAGACGGAGTTTCGCTCTTGTTACCCAGGCTAGAATGCAATGGCGCGATCTCGGCACACCGCAGCCTCAGCCTCTTGGGTTCAGGCAATTCCCCTGCCTCAGCCTCCTGAGTAGCTGGGATTACAGGCACGCGCCACTATGCCCCGCTAATTTTTTGTATTTTTTTAGTAGAGACGGAGTTTCACTATATTGACCAGGATGGTCTCGATCTCTTGACCTCGTGATCCACCCACCTCGGCCTCCCAAAGTGCTGGGATTACAGGCGTGAGCCACCGCGCCCAGCCCTGTTACTGTTATTAGTTGGACAAAATAAGCCACTCCACAGCGACGGAAACTAGTGAGTACAACTTAGTGACTAAAATACTTTATTCGGTCTTAGTTTTTAATGTTTCAGAACCAGAAGCCAGTTTGGAGAACTGACTTTGGCGTCAGAGTTGTGTTTGAAGTCTTTGTTTCTTACTACAGTGTGTCCTTGGCTGAGGATCTTACCTCTCAGAACCTGTTTCTTCACTGTAAAATAGGGTTCATCAGACTTATCTACTGGGTTTGTTGTGAAGATTAGATGAGGTGATGCACAGTAGGCTCAATAAGTGGTAGCTGTTTTAATGAAGATTATTAAATTTACCATTGTTACGCTTCTTTTCACAGTATAGTTAGGTCATCGGTTCATATGTTACACAAGTATATGTGGAGGTTTTCTATAAGTCAGACACAGAAGAAGAGAACACCTTTGAGAAGCATCGTAGAACCCCTGGCATTGAGTACTTTCCATTGGTAAAGGGCTTGTGTAAAGGCCCAGTGTCTACAGGGAGTACGACGGTGTGTTGGACCTACAAGAAGGTCTAGGTAGTTGGTAGAAAAGGAAGCGGGGATAGTTGTAATGGTGAGGCTGGAAAGTAGGCAGGTGCCAGACCATGGTGGACCATGTAGGTGTGTTAAAAAGACCTCAGTTTTTAGAGTAAGAATGATAAAATCCTTGGAAGTGTCACCTTTTTTTTTTTTTTTTTTTTTGAGATGTAGTCTTGCTCTGTTGCCCAGGCTGGAATGCAATGATGCGATCTCAGTCCACTGCGACCTCCGCCTCCTGGGTTCAAGTGATTTTCTGGTCTCAGCCTCCTGAGTAGCTGGGATTACAGATGCGTGCCACCATGCCCGGCTAATTTTTGTATTTTTAGTAGAGACAGGGTTTCGCCATTTTGGTCAAGCTGGTCTTGAACTCCTGATGTCAGGTAATCCACCCACCTTGGCCTCCCAAAGTACTGGGATTACAGGTGTGAGCCACCATACCCAGTTATCACTATTCATTATGATAGTTATTAGCCACTTGTGGTTATTGAGACTGGAAATGTGGCTAGTCCAAATGTGTATAAAACCCATATCAACTTTTAAAGACAGTTTTTTCTAATTCAAATTTGCAATTATAGTATGTTGTATATTATGTTAAATAAAATCTTGTAAAAGTAATTTCACCTGTTTCATTTTACTTTTTTAATGTGACTACTGGAAAACAAAATTACATATGGGGCTAGCATTGTATTTCTTTTAAATGGTGCTGTATTGACTTTTTGTATGGTACTGCATTGGAGGATTTTAAGCTTGGGCAGTAGGACATTGTATTAGTCCGTTTTCATGTTGCCAATGAAGACATACCCAAGACTGGGCAGTTTACAAAAGAAAGAAGTTTGGGCCCGGGCGCGGTGGCTCACGCCTGTAATCCCAGCACTTTGGGAGGCCGAGGCAGGTGGATCACGAGGTCAAGAGATCGAGACCATCCTGGTCAACATGGTGAAACCCTGTCTCAACTAAAAATACAAAAAAATTAGCTGGGCATGGTGGCGCGTGCCTGTAGTCCCAGCTACTCAGGAGGTTGAGGGAGGAGAATTACCTGAACCCAGGAGGCGGAGGTTGCGGTGAGCCAAGATCGCGCCATTGCACTCCAGCCTGGGTAACTATCGAAACTCCGCCTCAAAAAAAAAAAGCAAAAGAAGTTTGTTGGACTTAAGAGTTCCACATGGCTGGGGAAGCCTCACAATCATGGTGAAAGGCACTTCTAACATGGGGGCAGCAAGAGAGAATGAGAGCCAAGAAAAATGGGTTTCCTTTTATCAAACCATCAGAGCTTGTGAAACTTACTCACTACCAGAAGAACAGTATGGGCCGAACTGCCGCTCTGATTCAATTATCTCTCACCGGGTGTCTCCCACAACACTTGGGAATTATGGGAGTACAGTTCAAGATGAGATTTGGGTAGGGACACAGTGCCAAACTATAACAGATGATATGATCAGATTTGTGTTTTGAAAAATTAACACTGTCTGCAATGTGGAGAATTGATTGGAGGAAAACAGAGGAGACCAGTAAATAGGAAAAAGTAATAACTTACACTAAGGTGGTAGCAGTAAGAATGGAAAGAACTAGATGCATTTGAATGATACTCAAAAAGTTAAAATAATGGTTCTTAGTGATTAAATAGATGTAGGGATAAGCTGAAGCACTTAATGTAAAGGGACGGATGGTGTTGTCTTTCATTAAGATAGGGAGAACAGTAGAAGGAGATTAGATTTCAAAAGGAAGGTCATGAGATTGAATTAAGATGTATTGAGTTTAAAGGTCTCTGACCTTCTAAGTGGAGATGTCAAGTAAGCAATTGGAGAGAGAGAGAGAGAGAGAGAGAGAGAGAGAGAGAGAGAGAGAGATCTGAAGCTCAGATGAAAAGTCTTGAATAGAAAAGTAAATTGTTTCTTTATTATTTTCTATTTTATAGAAAAATTAGTTGGAGAGCCAGCAGTGGTGTATTGTGACCATTGAAGCCTTAGAAGTAAATGAGCTTGTCCATTAGTGGGAGTTTAGAGTGGTTTAAAAGTTGCAGACTGAGCCTTGAGGAATCCAACATTAAATAACTGGGCAAAATTTGATGACGAGAGGTACAAGAAAAACCAAGAGGGCCTGGTGCGTTGGCTCACGCCTGTAATCCCATGGCTTTGGGAGGCCAAGGTGGGCAGATCGCTTGAGGTCAGGAGTTGAGACCAGCCTGGCCAACGTGGTGAAACTCGGTCACTATGAAAAATATGGGAAAAAAAAATTAGCCAGGTGTGGAGGTGGGCACCTATAATCCCAGCTACTCAGGAGCCTGAGGCAGGAGAATTGCTTGAACCTGGGAGGTGGAGGTTGCAGTGAGCGGAGATCGCACCATTGCACTCCAGCCTGGGTGACAGAGTGAGACTCTGTCTCAAAAAAAAAAAAAAAAGAAAAGAAAAACCAAGAGAATGTAGTGTCAGGGAAATCAAGAAATAATATGTAAAAAGGGAAGGAACAGAACTGAAAAATGTCCATTGGATTTAGCACAATGGTCCTTGATTTAACTCTTTTCTTTAGAATGTTAGGGAGTGGAGGGCTAAGTTTGAGTGAGGATGAAAGTAGAAGATGAGGAAATGGAGACAGTGAATATAGGTAACACTTGAGATGTTCTTTCTTAAAGGGGTACAAAGATAGGACGCTCTTTTCCCTCGTTAGGAGTTACTGTGTTAGAAAAGTTTGAGACCAAGGGATTCAGGATATATATGAGAAAAAGAGTCCTGTGAAATTTTAAATACACATGTGTGTCTCTCTCCATCTGTAAATTGGAGCCGTTGGAGAAACAGTGCTAAGACCTTGAGGAGGGGAAAGAGACCCTTCTTTACACATATTATGGGGAAGAAAAAGAACATATGAAACAGTCTATATGATTATGTGTTTTTAGTAGTTTGAGTGAACTCATGAAGGCATACTTTTTACTGTAAATTTGACTTCTTTTCTTAGAGGAGGCCAGGTAACCATGTCAGCCACAGCTGTAGATGCAGTTAATGCTGCACCCCTGTCGGGGTCCAAAGAAATGAGTTTGGAAGAACCAAAGAAGATGACCAGAGAGGACTGGAGAAAGAAGAAGGAGCTAGAAGAACAGCGAAAATTGGGTAATGCTCCTGCAGAAGTTGATGAAGAAGGAAAGTAAGTACTTAATTTTTTGTATGATCTGTTCATTCAAAATTCAAATTCATGTCCTCTTAGTTTATTAATTTTTCATCCTTTTGTTTGAGAGGAACCTGTCTTCATGTTTGTCATTTTTGTTTTTATTATCAAATTCGTGCATATGGTTTAATAATGAAATTATGTTGAAGGGCTTATAGTGAATAGCAACAGTCCGTTTTCACCCTTCCCACCCCTGACCTGCTCTACAGAAGTGACTACTGTTAAATCTTTCTAGTTTTTTTCTGGTTGTTACCTTCACATCTCTACATAATAATACCTACCCAGTTATCTTAATTAACTATAGACAGTGTTTGAACCAAAACTTCTTGTGACAGAAGATTTAGATTACTAACATACATCTCTATTTTATTTCCTCTCTTCTCCCCCTTCAGTTATATCACTATTCTTAGTTTCTAAGTTGGAAATATTTTCACTATAAAATTATTTCTTTATTTTTAATTATTCTTTATTATAGTATAGAGATAGCAACCATATGCTCTTCCCCACCACTACAATATTTCTATTCTTAGATTTTGTATAAACTACTATAATACTGTAATATTTTCAGTGTTACTATAATAATTCAGTAATACTATAATAATTCGTAACTATAATACTGATTATTTTCCAACTTTATTCTTAAAATTTTTTTTAATTTTATTACAGAGACATCAACCCCCATATTCCTCAGTATATTTCTTCAGTGCCATGGTATATTGATCCTTCAAAAAGACCTACTTTAAAACACCAGAGACCACAACCAGAGAAACAAAAGCAATTCAGCTCATCTGGGGAATGGTACAAGAGGGGTGTAAAAGAGGTATGTAGCCAACCTGTGTATATCTTCATGGATATGGAGAGTTTAAGAACTTAATGTAAGAACTTTTAATGCAATGCTATTTAAAGTAGAAACAGATAATATAACCCTTTATCTGGTATTGAAATTCACAGTGCATTACTACTTTATCTTTGTACTTCTTATATAAATTTTACACTCCTGAAGTCCTTAAACTTTCATATTTATAAATGTGTAGAGACTCTAACTCGTTTTCCTTTTAACAAAGAAATCATTTCACTAGACAAAATAGTAATGAGAGCCAAAGTTGTTTCTAACTTACTTGATGAAGACATTTTCTGTGTTTTTCTTTATATATATTTATAGAATTCCATCATTACTAAGTACCGCAAAGGAGCATGTGAAAATTGTGGCGCTATGACACACAGAAAGAAAGACTGCTTTGAGGTAAGGTCACCTGGAGAATTTTGAAAACTGTTGTCAGAGTCTTTCTTTTTCCTTTATCAGAGAGCTTACTTCAGTTTTTCTGAGATCACCTATATTTAGGTACAAGTTAAAAATTAATTTGAGTGGAATTGGTTCAACACCAACAAAATTTTTTGGTGTAAGACTAACTGATAATTGAATAGATCATAAAGTCCCATGATGTATTCATGCCTACTCTGTAAAAGTTGTATAAAGTTTCCCTTTGGGCCATAAACACTTAGGAAAAGATTATATCTTACTCTGTTTCTAGAGACCTAGGCGAGTTGGAGCCAAATTTACAGGTACTAATATAGCTCCAGATGAACATGTCCAGCCTCAACTGATGTTTGACTATGATGGGAAGAGGGATCGGTGGAATGGCTACAATCCAGAAGAACACATGAAAATTGTTGAAGAGTATGCCAAAGTTGATCTGGTGAGCAAAATTCCTTGCTTTCCTGCGTTTTTAAAGAATCATACTTTTGCTGTCTATCTAATTTAGCAGCTCTGTGTTTCAAATCTTGAAGCACTTTTAAAGTAGTAGCATTTTTAATAGTAGTAGTAGTAGTAGTACTGTATAGGCTACCTTTGTAATTGTAATGTTGAATAGAGGAAATAGTGTGCTGGCCATATTGGCCAGCAATTTCTTCTTTGATTCTTATATTGTCCTTTACTCCCTGACTTAGGTAGCAACAGATAGTGGAAGCATGAGGACAGATTAATGTCCAAAGCATTTGATTTTTTGAGGTTAGAAATATATGGCCCCCAGGCTATAGCTTGTCCTTGAACCTATATTATTGTTGCCTCACATAGCATTTGGGAGCAATAGAAGGGAAATGGATAATTTGTTTCAGAAAATTTTATTTTAAACCAACTTCAGTTTTTACTGTTATGATTTCACCTATTCACCCTTATTCTTTGAAGTCATAGTCACGCTGCTTTTAAAAAAAAAAAATTAGAGATATTTTTAAATTATTAGATTTCATATAAAAATCTGTATTTCACCTTTTCTTGAACACTGTAATATATATGGAAACCCTACACCTGCCTGGTAAGAGTCAGTCATCTACAGTTACGTGGCAACTGTTGTTTTCGTCATGGCTTCCTCTCTGCAATTTATCACTGATGCCATTTGGATCCGTTTACATTAATGCCTGATTCAAACAGTGTGTAACTCCTGTTCTTTATAAAGTAGTAAGTCTACGGCTACAAGGAATCCCAAAGAGATGGGATTGTTCAGTGACCTTTTCTGAGATGAATTAATTTAAAGTTATTTATTTTAAATATATAAAAATGTAAGTGACAATTTGAATGTTGTAAGTAAAATTTAAATGTTTCCTTGTTCTTTCTTTTTTTTTTCTTTTAAAGGCAAAACGAACATTGAAAGCCCAGAAACTCCAAGAGGAATTAGCCTCAGGAAAATTAGTGGAACAGGCTGTAAGTAATAGAAATGATCAATAAAATCAATTTTAAAAAGTTAAAACTCTTTTAAACAAAGAAATGGAAATTGAAACAAGAATTCATTTTGTAGATCTTCAGTTAGAGAGGAAGAGAGAAATGCTATTGGGGAAAAAATAAAACTGATACTTTATATACAGTTCATAGTAATATAAATTGATGCAGTCAATTTGGGAACAATATTGCACTATTTCTATTTAGACACACACTGACATACACACTTTTTCAAATTAAATTATTAGATCTCTCCATCCTAAAGAATTTTCTAGAGTTCAGAAAAATCATGATGCATAAAGATGGTACAGCATTTTTTACAATAGTAAAGAAATTGGAATAGCTTAAAAGTCCAGGAATATGGAATTGGCTAAGTGCATCTGCATGGTATAATGCTGCTTATCTCTTAAAGTGGCATTTCTCAAGACTTTGTTAACGACACTGGTTAACACTTGTATTTGAATGATACATGACAAAAATAGCATAATATTGTCACACAGAAAGGCCAGAACACTAGTTTTTATTTAATGTGGAATTTATGAATATTTTTTTCCTATCCTTTTTCTTTAGTATTTTCTGCAGTTTCTACAGTGAATATGTATCAGTTTTATAACTGGGCAAAACATTTTTTATATGAATGAAACGACTATTGCAGCCAATTTTTCATTTTTTGAAATCCTTGTCAACTTAATAGAGTAAATATATTATGCATATTAGAATTGTCAAGTTTCCTTTTTAACAAATCTAGGCACAAATAAATAGTAAACATTTTTAGTTTTTGAGTTTAAATTTCTAAAAGGGACTCTTACCATGTATGAGTTAACAGAGCAAACAGAATTTGAAATAATTACCAAGTAAGCAGTTACCAGGTTACTAAGGTAACCTATCAGGCAAATTATCAGCATAAGTTACTAGATAGGTGTTTAAAATCCATCTCTGGCTGGGCATGGTGCCTCATACCTATAATCCCAGCACTTTGAGAGGCCATGATGGATGGATTATCTGAGATTGGGAGTTCGAGACCAGCCTAGCTAACATGCTCTTAGAAAAGTGAATTTGCCTCTGTGAGCCTCAGTTTGGTATGTATGAAATAGAGATGACAACACCTATTCCCAGGAAGCTTATATACATACCACATAGTAAACACTGGGTAATTAGTAGCTATTATTGTCATGATTATTTTTATTTATTACTAACTTTGGGAAAAGAAAGGGGCCTGTTTCTTTTGTTCTAATATATTCTCTGTTGAATACATAGTGTAATTTATTTTACCAGTAAGGATACTTTATGTATGTAAGGGCCTAATGGTTTTTGCCCACTTAGATGCTTGGATATTAAGACAAATGACATATAGTAGATTTAGAGACTTAGCTATCACTATAGAAATGTATGTAAATGTCCTTTGTCGAACTAGCAAATAGTGGGAACTCAAAAATACTATTTTTTACAAAACATTTATATTTCTGACTTTGAAAGTAACACATATTAAGTGAAAGAAATTGGAACATTATATAAAAAAGAAAATAGCCCCTGTGTTAAACTATGAACATTTTGAAATAGGCCTTTCCAGGTCTCTCTTATGCACATATACTTGTTTATGTGTGTGTGCCAGAATACCAGATGTTTCTTAAATGGATTATTCTTTATATATTCATTTATTACCTTCTCTTTTTTAACAACATAGAGTACGGTGAGAACTTGTTTTCTGTCTATATTTATAGATCTATAGCATCATTTATTTTTGTATAAATTCACATGGTTCAAAAATTAAAACAATTTAAGAAGATACACAGTGAAGACTCTCCATGCCTGTTTCTATCCACCCTAACTAACACTGGCCAAACTTTGTGTGTGTGTGTATGTGTGTGTTTGTGTGTGGCTCCTTTCAGAGTTTCTTGAATAAAATGCAAATACAAATGTATACTCTTATTCCCATCTTTCTCTCCCCTCCCCTTTTTTATTCAAAAAAGTTAGGAAATGATTCATACTTTAGTGCACATTGGATAGAATTACTTTTAATGGTCGTGCAGCCTTCCATGGAGTGCAGTAAATTATATAATCAGTGATCCATTATTAATTCGATTTTTTCCCAATGTTTTGAAAAAACATTGCACATATACAGCACTGCACATCACATTTTTACATGTTTATATAATTGACATAGTACTAGGATAACCTTCTAGAAGTGTATTTCAGTGAGTTTATATTTCCAAAATTTTTTAGTGAGTTTGTAAAATTTTTGTGGCATATCACTTAGCCATTATTCAGAAAAGCTATGCAGATTTATGCTTCCATCTATATACTGTATATACATCCACGTATTTCAACATCTCCTCACTAATGCCATAATGTATTCTTAAGTATTTTTAACCTTTGAAGCTTTTGTGAACAGACATGGTAAAATACTGACCATGCTTTTATAGGCATTCTGTGGAGTTAGAAATTATTCTGACCAATTGCTAGTGAAGAAAAGTGTATCCTTGTGACAAGGAGTTTGGCTTCTCCTTAAATTACAGTATTGTGTCGCTTGTAGATTTTTTTCATTGCCCAAACTTCACTTTGGCTCTGAAGATGTTGATCACATGAACCCAGTGACATTTTCTTTTTGGACTTACTAGGAAACTAGGAAGGTTTAATAAATCTGATATGTCTGAAGACTAACACATTTAGAAATTATATTTATTGGATACTTTGGTCATCTTAATCTTCCTTTTACTGTTCTGTGGTTGTAATCTTATATCAATTAAAATTCTCTTGAAAGTTGCTGGCTTTATAGACAGTCTGATAAAATTATTCACAGTGGCACACATATTCAGAATTTGTATGCTCATTACAACTGAGAAATGTGAGAGTTTGTTTAGTTAGAATTAAGTTTTATTGTCTTAACTATGTTTTTTAAGTGTTAATTGGATTAAGTAGAATGAAATCATGGATTCTTTTTCTTCTTTCATGTTACAGAATTCTCCAAAACACCAGTGGGGAGAAGAGGAACCAAATTCTCAGACGGTAATACATATTTCCTGTCTCTGAGTATATGTTAAGTTTTTAAATTTCTGATGACTAATAATAAATAATGCTAACACCTTTTAAAGAACACAAGTAAATAAGGGTTTGGTTAAAGGGGGGAAAAAAGAAACCTACATGCTGCTTTCTTCTTACTTTATTTTCCCCCCTCCCTCTTTTTAGGAAAAAGATCATAATAGTGAAGATGAGGATGAAGATAAATATGCAGATGATATTGACATGCCTGGACAGAATTTTGACTCCAAGAGACGAATTACTGTCCGGAATCTCAGGATTCGAGAAGATATTGCAAAAGTAAGTCTTGTTAACATACATCTTTGAAAAATATTTGTCTTCTCAGCCTAAGTTTTATCTACTCTAGGTAGCATGTGGATAATATAGTCAGAGTCAAATTCAGATAAGGTTTCATTCTGTTTTTCTCTTCACCTGTATCCCAGAAATGTATACACACATCTAATTGATTATGTTCAACTCCTCCAGCTAGTCTGCTGAAATTCCTGTGAGTAAACATTAATTTATTCTTTAATTTTTTTTTTTTTTTAGTATTTGAGGAATTTAGATCCAAACTCTGCCTATTATGATCCAAAAACTAGAGCAATGAGAGAGAATCCTTATGCCAATGCAGGAAAGAATCCAGATGAGTAAGTATCAAGTTAAATGTAGAGATTTCAAGATGAGGGAAAGTTAATTGTTTTCTGACCTGACCATAGATGGTGGTCATTTTAATTCAGATTCAGTTTTACAAACTAATTTTCCTTAAATTGATCTCTGAAACATTTTTTTACTTGTATTTACAGAGTGAGTTATGCTGGAGATAACTTTGTTAGGTACACAGGCGATACCATTTCAATGGCTCAGACACAGTGTAAGTATTTGCTCTATGTCAAGGCATTTTATATTAGCTCATGAGATGTTTGGGATTGTTTTTTAAAGCTTGTTTTCAAGAAGCATGCAGTAAGGTAGCTGGTAATTCATTAAATGTTTTGAATTACTCTAGTGTTTGCATGGGAAGCCTATGACAAGGGATCTGAAGTGCATCTACAGGCAGATCCTACAAAGCTAGAGCTGTTGTATAAGTCCTTCAAAGTCAAAAAAGAAGATTTCAAAGAACAGCAGAAAGAAAGCATCCTGGAAAAGGTAATTTTGACCAAAATGCTGAAGAAGAACTTCTGTTACAGAAAAGTTACTCTTTAATAAGCATTAGTTTTACATTTGGAAAATAACACAAAGAGAATCCTTCTTCATCCATGAATAAGAGTCCTTTTCTTCCTTTGTCTTAGTCAGAGGGTATACAATTTTTGTATCAGCTTTTGTGGCAAAACAAACTACCTCAAATCTTAGTAGCTTAAAATAAACATTTATTGTTTCTCAGTCGGCCAGGTCTCCTGGTCTGGGCTTGCTCAGCTGAGGTTCAGTGATGAACTAAGATGGCCTCACTCTGGTGTTTAGCAATTAACAGGCTAGTTGTCCTAAGGGGACCTCTTCTGGGACAGCTTATTGCCACCCAATGTGGTCTTTCATCCTCTAGTAGGGTAGCACAGCTTTTTTAAATGGCATTCTCAGAGTTCTAGAGAGTGGCGGCAAAAAGTGTGCATAAAAAAAGGCATAAGTGCCTTTGCGTGGGTCACATTTGCCTACTTCTCATTGGTCAAAGCAAGTAATGTGGCCAAGCCCAGATTCAAGGGATAGAGAAAGACTTTGTCTCTTCATGGGAAGAACAGCAAAGCCATGTGGCAAAAGGGCATGCATACAAGGATAAGGGGCATTTATGGCCATCTTGTAACTTACTGTACTCAACAGATGCATAGCAACTGAGATAGCTATTTGCCTCTGAAAAGATAGGTGGCTTTTTTTTTCCCTACTGTGCTTTCTACAACAAAGCCCAGTAGAGAGTGTTCCCTTTCTTTCTGATTAGAAATAAATATTCTCCTGGAAATTTAAATGCAAATCAGGTTGTAAAATGTATTGAGTAATGTCCATTGTCCTTTTAGTATGGTGGCCAAGAACACTTGGATGCCCCTCCAGCTGAATTGCTTTTAGCCCAGACTGAAGACTATGTGGAGTACTCAAGACATGGGACAGTCATCAAAGGACAGGAGCGGGCTGTTGCCTGCTCTAAGTATGAGGAGGATGTGAAGATTCACAATCACACAGTATGTGCTAAACTGGAACAATTTTGTGTTCTTGTTAGTTTTGCTCTGTATTGCATTTTTCCTTTACAACTTTATTAACTAACCATTTCTATGCTCTATGCTTTAAAAAAAAAAAACATTTTAACTCTGCTTCATGGAATTTTTTCAAAAATAGAAAAATTTTGAAGGAATACTATATTCATCTATATACTCATTAACTAAATTCCAAAATTTTTAACATATTGCTTTATATGCTTTGTCTAGTTGTATGTGTGCATATGCACACTGTTTTACATATATATGTAAAATACACATAAATATACACACACATAGTTTATACATTTATTTAACTGAAACATTTGGAAATTATGTATGACATTTTATTCATAAATGCTATATCACATACCTCCTTAAAAATGAGGATTTTCTTCTATATAACCACATTGACATTATTCACTTTAGAAAGTTAACATTAATTCTATAATATCTAATATCCAGTCATTAATCACATTTTCCAAAGTCTACAGAAAAATGCCTTTAACACCTATTTTTTTGTTTTAGTCAGAATCCATTTCAAATTTATTTTGATCATTATTTGGTTATTATTGTATCACTTTTATAGAGTTTATCTCTTCATTTTCCTGACAGTGACCATTTAACAGATTAGGCCAATTCGTTTGTGAATTTTCTCATATTCTGTATTGACTGGTTCCTAGTAGTGTTATGTAACTCGTTTCTCTATCCCCTGTATGTTTTATAAATAGAAATTCAGGTCTAACGGCTTGATTGGATATAAGTTAAATATTTTGACAAGAATATTTAATAAGTAATATATATTCACATTGCATCACAAGCATCGTAAAGCATATATTGTCCTTTACTGTTCTCTTAAAGTAACCAAACTATAATTGTCTCTCTTAGTTGAGGGTCAAAAACCTAACTCCCTATAGGAGCCAGGCCAGTGATCATATATGAGTGAAGTGAGCCAGCCAAATTGTCCATACTGGAGAACACAGCCCTATCTTTTGTTTTTTTTTTTTTTTAAGACAGAGTCTCCCTCTGTGGCCTGGGCTGGAGTACAGTGGCACTGTCTCAGCTCACAGCAACCTCCACCTCCCTGCCTAAAGCGATTCTCCTGCCTCAGCCTCCCAAGTAGCTGGGATTGCAGGCACACACCACTACATCTGGCTAGTTTTTGTATTTTTAGTAGAGACAGGGTTTCGCCATGTTGGTCAGTCTGATTTTGAACTCCTGACCTCATGATCCTCCTGCCTTGGCTTCCCAAAGTGCTGGAATTACAGGTGGGAGTCACTGCACCCAGCCTCACAAGCCTTATCTAATAGGGGCATCCACTGTTCAGCAATAGCTGATTACTGCCAAGTGATTATGTAGGCCCAGAATTTGCCAGTCCTTAATTTTTCAAGAGAAATCAGATATCCTAAATTTTTTTATAGGCTTTTGGGAATAGAATTTAAGAGCTTTGTAACTACAGTATCTGCTTCTCACACTTCAAGTCAGACTACCTTCTCCCTGTTAGCCAGCCTTGAATCCCCATAATTTTTCTCCCAAATTACCTTTAAAGGGCTATATTATTTTATACACCTATCAACAGTATACAGAAGTTTCTAATTTCAGCTTCCTTTTTAAGTAATTTCTCTCTCTGCAGCATATCTGGGGATCGTACTGGAAAGAAGGCCGATGGGGATACAAATGCTGTCACTCTTTTTTCAAGTATTCCTATTGTACTGGAGAAGCTGGAAAGGAGATTGCTGTAAGTAATAGTCTTTGGTTCTTAAAGGTATAAAACAGCCAAAGCTCATAAATCAAACTAAAATATACTGTCTCATGTTTCAAATCTTAACTTTTTCTTAGATGATTAGTAACTATTACTCAACTCAAATTACATGTTTTTTTTTCCCTACAGAATTCTGACGAATGTATTATAAATGATGTAACTGGGGAAGAATCTGTGAAAAAACCTCAAACCCTCATGGAGGTAAGTTGATAATCGTTTGTGCTGGAGTTGGGGCTTTAAAACTTGCACCAGAGCTTTTTTCTTTTCTTTTGAGACAGAATCTCACTCTGTCGCCCAAGCTCTATTCCAGTGGCACGATCAGAGCCCACTGCAACCTCCACTCCTGGGTTCAAGTGATTCTCGTGCCTCAGCCTCCCGTAGTGCACCCAAGCTTTGTTTTCACATTAATTACACTGCATTTCAATCCTTCCATTCAGCTGCATCAAGAAAAACTAAAAGAAGAAAAGAAGAAGAAAAAGAAAAAGAAGAAGCATCGAAAGAGCAGTTCAGATAGTGATGATGAAGAAAAGAAGCATGAAAAATTGAAAAAGGTAATTTTCGAAGCCTAACTAGTAAAACTGACAAGTAACAGTATTCTTTGTTTTTTGGGTTGTTTTTATTTTTCTGAGATAGGGTCTTGCCCTGTCACCCAGGCTGGAGTGCAAAGGCGCAATCTCAGCTCACTGTAACCTCCAGCGCCTGGGCTCACGCAATTCTCCTGTCTCAGTGTCCTGAGTAGCTAGGATTACAGGAACATGCCACTGTGCCTGGCTAATTTCTGTATCTTTTTATAGAGACAGGATTTCACCATGTTGCCCAGACTGGTCTCAAACTTCTGAGCTCAGGTGAACTGCCGACCTCATCCTCCCAAAGTACTGGGATTGCAGGTGTGAGCCACCACTCCTGGCCAGTATTATTTGTGAAGGCCTTTATTTATAACGGCCTATGGTCTAGCTCTGTCTCCAAATGTATTTTTAAAATGATGAAACAAGCCTGGAGTCTGAGTGATTTGCCCAAGTCATATTAATGGAGGTATTGTGGGGTGTAGGTATTGCCTTCTTCTTGGAGTACTTAATATTGTGACTAAATGGACAGAAGAAATATGCTTTATAAAGCATTTTTAGAGTTATTGTCATGTTGACCACAAAGAATTCCCTTCTAGCTCCATAATATGTAAGTTTCAGCAAGTCTTTGAGAAAAGTCACCATTGTAGTCTCTACCAGAAGTATCATTTGTGAGCTTGTGTCAGTAAAGTGAACCTCATTTAATTTTTATTATTAAATAAAATTTCTTCAACGTTAATTAAAAATGTTATAGAATGTTTTGTGCTCTATAAAAATATCATATGAACCAAATAGTGATCAGTTGTAGCTTAACAGTGGAAGGGCTGACTCCAGAGCTCTTTCAGGCAATCTGGGTTTTTGATAGAGCAGTTCATATTCAGTGGAGTCTTTTGGTGCTCTGCCACTTGTGGAGAAGAGATCTGATGTAGAGCTGTGATAATGCATTTTATTCCTCTCACTGTAGGCACTGAATGCAGAGGAAGCCCGCCTTCTTCATGTCAAGGAGACCATGCAGATTGATGAGAGGAAGCGGCCTTACAATAGCATATATGAAACTCGGGAACCTACTGAAGAGGAAATGGAGGCCTATAGAATGAAACGTCAGAGACCAGATGATCCCATGGCCTCTTTCCTTGGACAGTAGTAACTAGTCAGAAGACCATCCAAGATAGATGCAGCTGATACATTCAACAAGAAGATTCAGCTTCTTGTTGATGTAGATAGAAAAATCCTTGTCTGCTCTTGCTGCCTGGCTTTAATAAATCTTTCAGATGTCTCACAGTAAGTTCACTCCTTTCCATACTGAAGGAACAAAAAGAAGAATAAAAAGAAGAGGCACATGAAGTCTGCTTTTGGGAATAGAACTCAAAATTTGATTAAGATTTTATTTCTAGTTTTATGTGAGTCATGTAGAAAGAGGCTGTGGCTCTCTACCTATTAAGAATGTCTCCTTCTCTACATTTATTAAGCTTCAAACTTTATTGCTTCAATTTTTGTGCCCTATATTAGCATACTTTGGTTTTGAGAAAAAAGGGGTTTCATTTCTTTAAAATAACTACTAGCAACTCTATGACTACATTTATTTTTATTTCTTTTTTTTTTAAGAAATAAGATCTTGCTATGTTTCCCAGGCTAGACAGCAGTGGCTTTTCACAGACATGATCATAACACACTGCAGTCTTGGGCTCAAGTAATTCTCTCTCCTTGGCCTCTGGAGTGGACTAATTGAATGGAAAACAACTATTTTCTCATCATTGGGTCAATACTGACTGATCAATAGTAGGTCTTTTACCATTCTGGACATAAGCCTTTAGATGTAGAAATCCTTTCCTTTATCATAGAGGATATGGTTTGTAATACCATTTGTTTTCCTTGTGATTGCCTTTATTTAACAATCATGAATATTAGATTTTTTAAATTGTAGAATATCCTAATATTTATAGCCAGGAGCTGTTACTTTGTAAAATTTGCAAAAAAAAAAAAAAAAAACCTAAAGTTGGTTTCCTCAAAGAATTATAAGAATAGTTTGTAGGGATATTAGTAATAGATTGCTATGGTCCTGAAGCCTCTTCTTAGAACATTGTGAAGATAATACTGACACAGTGGAATCAGTGAAAACAGCCTAACAAAACCTCTGACATGAGTATATCAACTTTTTTTTTCTTTTTGAGACAGTCTCACTGTTGCCAGGCTGGAGTATAGTGGCACAATCTTAGCTCACTGCAATCTCTGCCTCCCAGGTTCAAGCGATTCTCCTGCCTCAACCTCCCAGGTAGCTGGGATTACAGGCATGTGCCACCATACCCAGCTAATTTTTGTATTTTTTAGTAGAGACGGGGTTTCATCATGTTGGCCAGGATGGTCTTGATCTCCTGATCTCATGATCCACCTGCCCTGGCCTCCCAAAGTGCTGGGATTACAGGCGTGAGCCACAACGCCTGGCAAATATATCAACTTTTAACAGCTCACTGGCTTTTCTAAACTACCAAAATCTACCTGTAGGATACTGCATTAAGTCAGAATCTCAGAAATGGCAGTGTAAGAGTAACTGAATCAAATTGTCAAGCACTTTGGATATACGTGGTTTCTAGCTTTAGATTGCTATGAAATTAAACAGCAGTGCAAGTAGACTTAATCTTACTTTAAGAATGCAACAAATTTTCATATTCCTACCTAAACAGGGTGGTTCCACATAAAGGCTGACTTTGTTGCGTCTGTTTTGTATTTTATATTTTGTTAAAGATATATAAATGACAATACTTAACTGTGAGTGGTTTGTAGCATTATTTCTAATACTTGGCAGAAAAGTTGTATGGGACAGGGAGGGAACCTGGATTCGCTTCTGTGAGTTTGTGCAAGAAAATTTTAGCATCCTGTCACTAACCTTTCTGGACCTCTTTCCCTCTTCTATGAAGCCTAGTTTACTTTGATTTAGGAAGAGTTCTATAATATCCAGAATCATATCTTCTGTTTTATTGGTAATGCCTAGCCAGCCTGGCCAACATGGCAAAACCTTGTCTCTGCTAAAAATACAAAAATTAGCTAGGCATGGTGGCACACGCCTATAATCCCAGCTACTCAGGAGGCTGAGGCATGAGAATTGCTCGAACCCAGGAGATGGAGGTTGCAGTGAGCAGAGACCATACCACTGCACTCCAGCCTGGGTGACAGAACAAGACCCTGTCTCAAAAAAAAAAGAAAAAAAGTAATGCCTAGGGCATTACTCAGATTGATCTCAATAATAGCTGCCTTTGAGCATGGGAACTATGTACTGTAATTGTCATATGTTATCTCCTTCCTCTAAAGAACTTCATGGGGTAATGGATGATATATCAATTTTACAATAAGCACATGGAATTAACTCCCAAGTAATCTGCACAAATCCCAACAGTTATAAGTGTTGGAGCCAGGACATGAAGCTAGTTGTCTCTGAATCTGAAGCCTACCCCTTTTTCTAGTATTTAAGGCCCTAGTTTCTTAAACAAGGCTGGTCTTTTGCAGTTTTTTCCATCCACAGAAAACAAGCTAGCCCTTCAGTATTTACCAGGCTCACACTCAACACCTGAAAATGACGTATCTGGCCCACATTTTTTGACACACCACCACTCCTCAAACACACTGGCCTTATGGAATGCTTTTAACAAGATTGTACAAAAATGAAACTTACTAAATTTATAAGAATTCTGGAAATAAATATCCCCAAACAGGAAAGGACTATATTCCGGTTTATTTCTTTCAACAATGTTTCCTAGTTTCTACTTGGGATTTTTCTCTCAAACCTCTCTAAAAATGGGTTTACTTCTCGAAATCATGTTGTCGAAAGAATTTTAAATAAAAATCTTTCCTCTGAAATGGATGATGATGACTAGGAAATTCATCCCCATGTTCCCATTTATGGGAAGTGAGGGGATCACCCCGCATGGGCAACACTACACCAGCTATGGAAGCTCATCCTCCACTGCCGAAATGTTTAATCTGAGATTACAATGAGCGTCCTCTTTTTTCTCATTTATTCCACATGGAATGTGGTAATTATCAAGAGTTTTATCTCCAAGCTCAAAGCCAGACACAATATAAAAGTTTGAGTGCTCTGCATGTTAAAAAGAACTATGTGGACTTTACAGCTCCTTCCATTCCTGAAATTCTACAGTTCATCCTTTCTGGCAGACACAACAATCTCCAGTCCCACGTATACAATCTAAAAAAATTGGGGAGGGCCAGCGCGCATGCTCAATACTCAAGCCAGCCAGCCCGTCCCACAGCCAGTTGCTCCTGCGCCTGCGTACGGGAGACGCCTTGCCCAGTTTGCGGGCGGGAAGCAACTTAGAGAACCCGGATGGAACTCGGGCCTGGCTGATCAGGGGTTTGTAGCGGATGCTTCTCTCTCCAAGCGCACCGCAGATTCCTGTTCGAGGGTGGGACCTGAGGAACCATCGCCCGCCTAGACCTGGTTCCGACGTCGAGAGGCTGGGCCCTAGACTGAGCGGAGAGCGGCACTGGAGCCTGAAACGGGCTCTCAAAAGAAGCCCGAGCATCCCTTGGGCCTGCGCCTCAGGCTCGGAGACCGGCGGGCGGAGACCGCGCTGAGTCTTTTCTTTCCTCGCCGCTGGCGTTCTTAGCTCACCCAGGAGGCTCTAAAAGTCTGCGTCCTTAGCAGTAATACCACCAGGCCCTATCAATTAAGAGCTGCGTGTTGTTTGCATGCATTCTTGTAATTAAACCTCCCAACAACCCTGTAAGGTAGGTACTGTTATCCCCTCTGGAGGAACTGAGGCTTGGAAAGGTCCCAGCTTGTAAGCGACAAAGCCACGATCCCAGGCGTTTGCCCCTGGAGCGGCTGCGCAGCCACCAAGTTCCTGCCCGCTTCCTCCTGGCTATCGATTTTAACTGTAAAACGTAATAGTGAAATGCTCTGCCTCCCGGAACACCTGCGCCTACCATGGTCTTGCATACGCAGTGGCTAGATAGAAGTTGACTTATATTTGGCTTGGAGTTTTAGGCTTACAACTGCACTTTGGTGTTTTCCATATATATTAACAATCCCTAATTGCTTTGTGAGTGCACTTTTTACTGATTTTTCTCAGTTGTGATACTTTCATACCTACTCATCATAAACTTGCAAAAACATTTTACTGTTATGTCAGATCTAAGCATCTGAAGATAATCTCTCAGAAGAATCATTCTTAAAAATGAATGATGCCTATTTTAAAATAATGCTTTTAATTTTTTTATTATTGGAAGTTTCCAACATACATAAAAATAGAAAGTGTAATGATGTGTACACATCCAGCTTCAAGAGTTACCAACTTAAGGCCAGTCATTTCTTTTATTTCCACCCCGTTTTGTGCATGTTTGTAAGTTATGCTAAACTACAGTATTTCAAAAGAAATCCCAGACATCTTATCATTTCAGCTGTAAATAATTGTCTGTATCTAACAAACAAGGTATTTAAAAACACAACCATTATCAGGCCTGTTTAACAGTAATTCCTTATGATGATGATGCTTTTTTAATGTTTACATTTTTTAGGATATTGCAATTCCTAAATACCACAAAAGTGCAAGGGCAGATTGTAAGTTTCTAAAAACACAAGCCTCTTGGGCAGTAAGTTCATCTTTGAGGCTCTTGAAAATGCTTGCCATCTCTTCTCCCATTTTGAGAGGACTGGAGGAGAATACTATAAATTGATTTTCCTAAAACTTCTTTTGTACATAACGGATAAATTTTAAATTAAAATATATTTGAGATACATAGTCAAGGTGGATAGGAATGGACTCTTAACAGATTTTTGTAATGATTTCCAGTTTTGTTTTGTTTTGTTTTGTTTTTGAGACCATCTCACTCTATCACCCAGGCTGGAGAGTGCCGTGGCGTCGTCTCGGCTCACTGCAACCTCCCCCTCCCAGGTTCAAGTGATTCTCCTGCCTCAGTCTCCCAAGTAGCTGGGATTACAGCCCGCCACCATGTCCAGCTAATTTTTGTATTTTTAGTAAAGACAAGGTTTCATCGAGTTGGCCAGGTTAGTCTCGCACTCCTGACCTCAGGTGATCCACCCTCCTTGGCCTCCCAAAGTACTGGGATTACAGGTGTGAGCCACCATGCCTGGCCTTTTTTTGAGACGGAGTCTGGCTCTCTCACCCAGGCTGGAGTGCAATGGCATGATCTCAGCTCACTGCAACCTCCGCCTCTTTGGTTCAAGCAGTTCTGCCTCAGCCTCCCGAATAGCTGGGATTACAGGCGTGCGCCACCACATGCAGCTAATTTTTGTATTTTTTTTTTTTTTAAGACGGGGTTTCACCATGTTGGTCAGGCTGGTCTTGTACTCCCAACCCCAGGTGATCCGCCCACCTTGGCCTCCAAAGTGCTTGGATTACAGGTGTGAGCCACCACGCCCAGCCAATTTTTTGTATATTTAGTAGAAATGGGGTTTCACTATGTTGGCCAGTCTGGTCTGGAACTCCTGACCTCAAGTGATCCGCCTACCTCGTCCTCCCAGAGTGCCTCCCCACCACTGGGGGCCCCTCTTGTAATGATTTCTTTTCTTTTTTTTTTTAAAGACCGGGTTTTACCACGTTGGTCAGGCTGGTCTTGAATTCCCGACCTCAGGTGATCCGCCCGCCTTGGCCTCCAAAGTGCTTGGATTACAGGCGTGAGCCACCATGCCCGCCTCTTGTAATGATTTCTAATGTGACTAAAAACATTTTCCTTTATTCCCTCTGCCTCCCCAAATATACATGATAAGTATGCATTAATAGAATACCGAAAAATAAGCATTTTATGGTAATGTTGTAATTTTATTAATTAGAAGTGGTTCTAAGCAAAAGTAGCCATGTAGTCTCATTACTGGACAAAAGAAGGCTTAAGATCAGCTCTTTAAACTTCAGGTTGTCTTTTTTGGTTGACAGACAACCTCCAATTTAACAGGCTTATAACCATGTAACAGGTCAACTTAATAGTTTTATTGGAGTACATTTTACAACTAGTTCATCTTGGTAGATCCACTTGAAAGCTAATGCTTTAAGTAGATACTCTTGGCTTACTTGTGATTTTTATTTTAATGGCCAAAGTAGGTATTCAGATTTAAATGTGTACCTGTTACTTAATTTCAGCCACATTCTCTGGCCCAGAACTTTGGAAATTTTGGGATCACTTATTTATCTTGGAGATAGAATGTTTTCTGAGGTATATTTGAGCCTACCTGTGGATTATGCCTTTACTCATTTCTAAAGAGAAAGAGAAAAGATATGGCTTTCATCTTTAGGTGTTAACTTTCATAAGAGGCTGTCATCAACTCAGAAAATGTAGAAAATTTAAATATCTATTAAAACATTTGGACCATTCACTTGGGAACCTAGAATATTTGTTAGCTAGGGATGGTTTGAAGGATGTTTTTATTCCCCTAAATCTGACTACTTAACCAGGAGGTGTTTGAGGATCACCTGTACAACATCATTTCATATCATTTTGTTCTGCTTTTGGAGAAGATGATTTATTAGTTCTAAGGTAGTGCAGAGACATGTACATTTTTAAAGGGGTTCCCAGTGATTGTGATGATATGGTATCTCTTGTCACAGATCACTGTTCTAGTTACTATTTATAAGAATTATCTAAAATACTTAAATTAGAATACAGATTCTATGCCCCCACTTCATAACTAGAGAATCAGAATCTCTATTCAGATAGGACCTTCTACATCCTATTGTTGGGTTAAACAGAACCTTAGGAATGCTGCTTATTTTTAATGTGTGTTTGTGTGTGTTCTTTCTCAACTGCTTTTACTGAGAGGTATTTAGATGGAAAAGCATCATGAAATTCCTTATTGTACTTAAGGATATTCTCATATGAGAGGGATTTTTCTGAAGTCTCAGTAGCAACAATAGTTGTGTTTCTCCTGAGCAAGTAAGTTTTTTTCTTTTTTTTTGACAGAGACTTGCTCTGTTATGTAAACTGGAGAGCAGTGGCACGATCTTGGCTCAGTAGTTGCGACTATAGGCGTATGCCACCATGCCCAGCTAATTTTTTGTATTTTTAGGAGAGACGGGGTTTCACCATGTTGCCCAGGCTAGTCTCGAACTCCTGAGCTCAGGCAGTCTGCCCACCTCGGCCTCCCAAAGTGCTATGATTATAGGCGTGAGCCACTGCTCCCAGCCTACACTGATTCTTAACTGAGGGTATGCATACATATTTGGAGCTGAGTGGAAGGAGGTAGTGGTAGTGAGATGCCCTTTCCAGGGTTACAAAATGCACTAGATTTGTTTGTAGCATACGTTATTGAAAGCAAGTTAGGCCATACCTGTATTCACCAATAAATAACTAACTTGTCTAAGCTCAAATTTCCCATATATAACTTACTAGCAAATCATTTATTCCAAGGCTTTAGCTATGAGTTGCTAGCCTTAAGTTGAACTATACCCTGTCTTGGCTTACTTCGAATTGGCGTGCTGCAGGCTATATCTTGGCATGTACAAAATAGCATGTGATGACAAAATAGCATGTGATGTGGCTTTATTTTAATTCAGTTAGCCACTAGTTTTTAATGTGTGGGTTGTATTTTACTCCCAAAGCAAAATTCTGTGGCATCTCTGGAATACTACCTGAGAATTTTTGTGTGCCATGTCGAAGAAACGCAAATGGGATGATGACTATGTTCGCTACTGGTTCACCTGTACAACAGAAGTTGATGGAACTCAGCGCCCACAGTGTGTGTTGTGTAACTCAGTATTTTCAAATGCTGATCTCAGACCATCAAAACTGTCAGACCATTTTAACAGACAGCATGGTGGTGTAGCTGGGCATGATGTCAATAGCCTGAAGCATATGCCCACACCATCTGATCAGAGTGAAACCTTGAAAGCATTTGGAGTTGCATCTCATGAGGATACTTTATTACAAGCATCATATCAGTTTGCATATTTATGTGCCAAGGAGAAGAATCCTCATACAATAGCCGAAAAGTTAGTGAAACCTTGTGCACTGGAAATAGCACAAATAGTTTTGGGACCAGATGCACAAAAGAAGCTTCAGCAGGTACCCTTATCAGATGATGTGATTCATTCTAGAATTGATGAAATGAGCCAAGATATCTTACAGCAAGTTCTAGAAGATATCAAAGCCAGTCCTCTTAAAGTGGGCATTCAGCTTGCTGAGACAACTGACATGGAGGACTGCAGTCAGCTAATGGCATTTGTGCGATATATAAAAGAAAGAGAGATCATAGAAGAATTTCTCTTCTGTGAACCATTGCAGCTATCCATGAAAGGAATAGATGTGTTCAATCTCTTCAGAGACTTCTTTCTGAAGCATAAGATAGCACTTGATGTGTGTGGCTCTGTTTGTACTGATGGTGCCTCCTCTATTCTAGGAGAAAATTCTGAGTTTGTTGCCTATGTGAAAAAAGAGTTACCTCATATCGTGATCACACATTGTTTATTGAACCCTCATGCACTTGTCATAAAGACATTGCCTGCAAAACTGAGGGATGCTCTGTTTACTGTGGTGAGGGTAATAAATTTCATCAAAGGGAGAGCTCCAAATCATCGCCTGTTTCAGGCTTTCTTTGAAGAAATTGGCATAGAATATAGTGTCCTCCTTTTCCATACTGAAATGAGGTGGCTTTCCCGAGGCCAGATACTTACTCATATTTTTGAAATGTATGAAGAAATAAATCAGTTTCTTCACCACAAAAGCAGTAATTTGGTTGATGGCTTTGAAAATAAAGAGTTTAAAATTCACCTAGCCTACCTCGCAGATTTATTCAAACACTTAAATGAACTCAGCGCATCTATGCAAAGGACTGGGATGAACACAGTATCAGCTAGAGAGAAGTTATCTGCTTTTGTTAGAAAGTTTCCATTTTGGCAAAAACGAATTGAGAAAAGAAATTTTACCAATTTTCCTTTTCTTGAAGAAATAATTGTTTCAGATAATGAAGGAATATTCATTGCAGCTGAAATAACACTGCATCTGCAACAATTGAGCAGCTTCTTTCATGGCTATTTTTCCGTTGGAGATCTTGATGAGGCAAGTAAATGGATACTGGATCCATTTCTTTTTAATATTGATTTTGTCGATGATAGTTATTTAATGAAAAATGATCTTGCTGAATTACGAGCTAGTGGCCAAATCCTAATGGAATTTGAGACAATGAAGCTTGAGGATTTCTGGTGTGCTCAATTCACAATGTTTCCAAACCTGGCAAAGACAGCTCTAGAAATCCTTATGCCATTTGCAACTACATACCTTTGTGAGTTGGGATTTTCATCACTTTTACATTTCAAAACGAAGTCCAGAAGCTGCTTTAATCTGAGTGATGATATCCGTGTGGCTATTTCAAAAAAAGTTCCTCGTTTTTCAGACATCATTGAACAAAAGCAGCAGCTACAGCAGAAGTCACTGTAAGCTGATATACTTTTTTAATGTGTAATTTTAATCTTAATATTACAAAATTAAGCTGTAATTCTGTTTCTTTCCATTCATATTTATGATACACTGAATTCTATGTTTGAAAACATTTAATGACTTTAGCTTTGAATGAGGCATGTGAAAGTGTGTTTTGAGAATAAAAACACAAAAGCAGAAAAGATGAAGTACTACTGCCTAGTTGCTATCCTAAGATTTTCCTGATTCTGAGTTTCTGTTTAACCTGTTCATGAGGTATGTAAAAAAGATACCTAAGCACTAGAATATCCAGTTAAATTGTACAATCGGCCGGGAATTAAGCCAGGAGAAAAGAGAAGACTTCCCAGAAGTCAAAAAGGCAAAGTGACAGATTGAGTTCACCCATCTTTGTTATGAAGAAGCTAATGAAATCAGAAGAGAATTATGAAATATAATGGGAAAAGGAATGATCTGGCTTATATAAGAGTTTTTAAAATATACTCTTTGGAGTTAGTCTCACAATGTCCATTCCTATAGCTCCTATGTTATGAATATTAATAAATAGCCTAATATATTAGTCACTGTTTGTCATCTTTAAATTACTTCAGAGCTCCAAGTTATCAAGACTGCTGAAAAGGAGATTCCTTACCCTAGAGATTCTGATTAGCAGGTCTGTGATAAGGTCAAGGATCCTCATTTGTAACCAGCTTTCGTAACTAGATTCCCTACATAGAAATCTATGTAGGCCAGGTAAGGTGGCTGATGCCTGTAATCCCAGCACTTTGGGAGGCCAAGGTGGGCAGATCATGAGGTCAGGCATCCGGGACTGGCTAACATGGGGAAACCCCATTCTTACTAAAAATACAAAAATAAGCCGGGCGTGGTGGCGCATACCTGTAATCCCAGCTACTCAGGAGGCTGAGGCAGGAGAATTGCTTGAACCCAGGAGGCAGAGGTTGTAGTGAGTCAAGATCATGCCACTGCACCCCAGCCTGGGTGACAGAGGGAGATGCCTTTTTCTTTTTTTTTTTTTTTTTTTTTTGAGACTCTATCTCTGATAATTACTTTTCTTATATTTAATTTTAAGGTCATTGATAAATTTTGAAAAGGAATATAAATAGAATAAAGATATAATCTTCATGGCCAGCAGATGTCACTCTCTGTGTGGCTTTGAATGAAAGCAACTTTACTCTCATTACAGATTTTGCCAAATAGCTGATTTTAAGCATCCCTAGAAAAGATACTAGTGGCTCAAATTTAAAATGCCCCACCTGGCCCTCTGTGGACTCAAAATTGGCAGGCAGAACTCTGGTGGAACCAGTAACCTCCAGACCAAGAAATCGCTGAAAAACACAGGTGAGAAAGAAAATATAAGTGACTTTTTCTGTAATACTGACAAGCATGTGGATTTTGGCATCCTCACTGTTTGTCTAAGTCACCAAAAGCTGCTTAAAGTTAGTGACTAATGGGTCAGCATTTTGGGGCATGAACCAATGGGAATCAAAACTAAATAGACTTATACTTTTAAATAGTGAACTTGATGATACTTGAATTGTATCTTTATTTTATTTTTTGAGACAGAATCTCACTCTGTCACCCAGGCTGGAGAGCAGTGGTGTGATCTTGACTCACTGCAGTCTCCACTCCTGGGTTCAAGACATTGTCCTGCCTCAGCCTTCCGAGTAGCTGGGATTACAGACACCCACAACTGCATCTGGCTAATTTTTGTATTTTTAGTAGAGACAGGCTTTCATCATGTTGGCCAGGCTGGTCTTGAACTCTTGACCTCAAGCCATCCACTCCCAAAGTGCTGGGATTATAGGCGTGAGCCATTAAGCCCAGCCTCAATTTTTAAAAATAGGCTCTGAGGCCAGGTGCAGTGGCTCACACCTGTAATCCCAGCACTTTGGGAGGCTGAGGGAAGAAGGCTGTTGAGGCCAGGAGTTCAAGACCAGTCTGAGCAACATATCAAGACCCTGTCTCTACAAAAAATAAAAGTAGCTGAGCATTGTAGCACATGTCTGTAGTCCAGCTACTGGAGAGACTGAGGCAGGAGGATTGCTTGAGCCCAAAACATTGAGGCTGAAGTTGGTCATGATGGTCCCACAGTACTCTAGCCTAGGTGACAGAGTGAGACACTGTCTGAAAAAAAAAAAAAAAAAAAAAAAAAAGACTGGTCACAGTGGCTCACAGCTGTAATTCCAGCACTTTGGGAAACTGGCAGGAGGATCACTTGAGCCCAGGAGCTTGAGACCAGCCTGGCCAACAAAGTGACACCCTGTCTACAAAAATTAGCCTGGTATGGTGGCATACACCCATAGTCCTAGCTACTTAGGAGGCTAAAATAGGAAGATCACTTGAGCCCAGGAGGTGGAAGCTGCAGTGAGCTGTGAATATGCCACTGCACTCCAGCCCAGGCAACAGAGTGAGACCCTGTGTCAAAAAAAAAAACAAAAAAACCTCTGGATATTTATAGTATACAGATTGTTTTTGTTTGTTTGTTTTTAAGCACTAAATTATATTAGATATTATGAGCATGGCTTTAATATCTGCCAGGCATTTAGAAACATAGAATTTGAAGCTTTCAAAGTCTACCTTAATTTGAAGGGCAGTATAAGGTTATTGCCTATTGTAATTTGTACTTCTAAGAAAAAAGAGAGACCTCAGGTTTTTTTTACTTTTGTTTTACAAATTTGCCATAAATCTTACTATAATTCAGCAATGGATTGAGTCCTATTTCGCTACTTACTAACTGTATAAACTTTGTAATTTTTGCCATATAGGAATCAAGAGATCTGACAGTCTGATCATCTTGTTTTGACCTGCTTAACATTCATTCATTAACTTGCTTCTTTTAATAGTAACATCCAGCTTTTTCTTGAGGAACTATTTTCCCCCCGCTATCAGCCCATATGACCCCCCCCCCCCGGCTGGTTAGCTCCAGTACCTTTGCTGGAATTAATGGGGAAGATGCTATACGTGCTAAACTAATAGGATATGTCTGGACTTCCAGTGGTCAGTTTTGCTACCCGTATTAGGGTTCTTCAGAGATTCAGAACGAATAGAATGTATGTACATGTAAAAGGGATTTTATTAGAAAGAATTGGCTCACCTGATCACAAGGCAAAGTCCCATGATAGGCCATAAGCAAGCTGGGGATGAGAGAAGCCAGTAGGGATTCAATCTGAAAGCCGCAAAACTGGGGAAGCTGACAGTGCAGTCTTAAGTCTGTGGCCAAAGGCCCTAGAGCCCCTGACAATCCACTGGTGTAAATCCAAGAGTTCAAAGGCCAAAGAACCTGCAGTCTGATGTCCAAGGTCAGGAGGAGCAGGAGGAAGCATCCAGCATGGGAAAAAGAAGGAAGCGAAGAGACGCAGCATGCAAAAGCTATCCTGACTGCTTTGTTCTAGCAGAGAGCAAATGTAAGCTGTAAATGCTTACATTAAAACGAAAAGTCATCTAGGCGCAGTGGCTCTGCCTGTAATCGCAACACTATGGGAGGCCAAAGCAGTTGGACCACCTGAGGTCAGGAGTTCAAGACCAGCCTGACCAACATGATGAAACCTTATCTCTACTAAAAATACAAAAATTAGCTGGGCGTTGTGGCAGGCACCTATAATCCCAGCTACTTAGGAGGCTGAGACAGGAGAATCGTTTGAACCCAGGAGGCAGAGGTTGCAGCGAGCCAAGATCGCACCATTGCACTCCAGCCTGGGCAGCAGGGTAAGACTCTGTCTCAACAAAAAAACAAAGAAAAGAAAAGTCAATAACCTAAACTTACACCTAAAGAAACTAGAAAAATAAGAGCAAACTAAACTCAAAGCAAGTAGAAGGAAGGAAATAATAAAGATTAGAGGGAAATAAATGAAAGTGACAAACAATAGAGAAAATCATAGAAATTAACAGTTGGTCCTTTGAAAATATTAACAAAATTCAAAAAGCTTAAGTTAGACTGACCTAGGAAAAACAGGAGAAAGAGGGGACGTTACTACCAACCTTACAGAATCGAAGGAAATATTTTGAACAATTGTATACCAACAAATTAGATAACCTAGATGAAATGGAAAAATTCAGAAGGCACAAACTCCCAAAACTGACTCAAAGAAAAAATAGAAGCTCTGAATAGACCTATAAAAAGTAAAAAGATTGAGGCAGTAATCCAAAAAAATTCGAGGAATTGGGGAAAGTCTTAGGACCAGATGGTTTTGCTGTCATCTGATGAATTCTACAAAATATTGAAAGAATACCAATCCTTCACAGATTCTTCCAAAATGTTGAGAAGGGAGGAACACTTACCTCATTCTGTAATATCAAACCAGACAAATAACATCACAAGAAAACTACACACCAGTATTCCTTATGAAAATTGAAAAGGGAGGAACACTTACCTAATTCCGTAATATCATACCAAACAAATAGCATCACAAGAAAACTACACACCAGTATTCCTTATGAAAATTGAAAAGGGAGGAACACTTATCTCATTCTGTAATATCAAACCAGACAAATAACATCACAAGAAATTGACAGACTTGTATTCCTTATGAATATGCTTATTAAAATCCTCAATAAAATACTAGCAAACTCAATCCAACAACATATTAAAACTATTATACATTATGACAAAGTGAGATTTATTCTAAGAATGCAAGGTTGGTTCAATGTGAAAGCAAACCAGTACAATACATGAAACTAATAGAATAAAAGAAACCACATGATCATTTCAACAGACAGAAAAAGCACTTGACAAATGCAATATCCTTTAATTTAAAAAAAAAAAACAAAAACTAGAAATAGAAGGAGACTTCCCCAACTTGATAAGCCTTTATAAAGAACCCACAGCTAACATACTTAGTGGTGAAAAAAAGCCTTTCCCACAAGATCAGGAAAAGACAGTACTGTCTATTCTCACCACTTGTTTTTTTGAGACAAGGTCTCGCTCTGTTGCTCAGGCTGGAGTGCAGTGGCACAGTCATGGCTCACTGCAGCCTCCACCTGCCAGGCTCAAATGATCCTTCAGCCTCCTGAGTAGCTGCAACCACAGGCACACACCACCATGGTAGGTTGATTTTTTGTATTGTTAGTAGAGGTGGGATTTTCCCATGTTGCCCAGGCTAGTCTCAAACTCCTGAGCTCGAGCATTCCGCCTGCCTCAGCCTCCCAGAGTGCCAGTATTATAGATGTGAGCCACTGCTCCCAGCCACCACTTGTATTTAACACTGTACTTGGAGGTTCTTGGCAGGGCAATTAGGCAAGAAAAAGAAGAATTACTTCTTATTACCATTTGTTATTGGACATAGAAGCTCTAAGAGGTGTACTCGGAGCACGCACTGGTGTCCCAGACATAGTCTTTCTTGCTGCCATTGTGTAGCAGCAAACCAGTTTCTCCTTGGTAATCATAATTGATTGCCTTAGCCAGTAAAGTATTTCCATTCTCTGCCTATTGGTTCATTGACATGAGCCCAGCACTAATAGTGATGGACAGAATTCAGTTGCCAGATAATAGGACCCAAAATGACAGATCTATAATTTATTACAGGAAGAGGACGTAGTATATAGCATCAGCATTGAAATACAGATATGCATCATAGCTAAAGGCTGCCTCATACAAAGAGGTCTAGAGAGGATAGTTTTGAGCACTAAGTGTCAGGGCCTGTGGTAGGCAGAAAAATGGTCCTTCAAAGATGTCAGCATACTTATCCCTGAAACCTCTGCGTGTGTTACTTTATGTGGCAAAAAAGGACTTTGCACATTTGATTAAGTGAAATATCTTGAGATAAGAAGATTATCCTGGATTATACAATGGGCACATTGTAGTCACAAGGGTCCCTCTCATAAGGAGACAGAAGAGACAGGAGGAGATGTGAAGATAAAAGCAAAGGTCAGGGAGTCAGAGTTTTGAAGATGCTACTCTGCCAGCTTTGAAGATGGAGGAAGGGGCCACCAACCAAGGAATTCAGGCAGCCTTAAAATTTGGAAAAGGTAAAGACACATTTTCCACTTGAATTTCCAGAAGGAATAAGCCTGTTGACTGACAACTTGACCTTAGTTTATAAGACTGATTTTGGACTTATGACCTATGGAATTTAAGATAATAAATTTATGTTATTTAAGCTACTGATTTTGTGGTAAAGTGTTAGAGCAGCAATAGGAAATTAATACAGGGCAGTAGGGACACACTCTCTTGGATCAGGCATCAGCAGTATGAGCATGAAACACCTCAGAACAGAGGGCTCAAAAGGAGTCTCAGCTGGAGTTTCTTATACTCTGTTGTTCACACAGGCATATTTTTGCCACATAACGAGCAGCTCCAACAACCAAGTTTTTGTGTCCCTGGAGGAAGGAGAACCGGGGGAGGGGCAGAAGTCTCTAGGTATAAATCGTTCATCTCACTATTACAGTAAACGGTGTTGACAAACTGGTACAAACTACCCTGAAACTCCTCATACATAAGGTTACAAAACTGTTATTAATCAGGATATATTATGCCTTGACCAGGATTTGGTGCTGTGCTGGCAACTGAGGCCAATTTCAGGCCCACTGGAATTCATCCTCATAACACAATCCAAAATGATTAGTGGAAATCTCAACTTAAAATTCAGTGGAAGCACTGTTATGTCACCTAGTGGAAGTATTCCTCTCTTGGGAAACAAGACTGCCAAAATAACAGTTCACAGATGCAGCAGTGGGAAGCACACATTCTTTGAGTGGATTAATAGGTGCAATAGTAAAGTGAGCCACTCCAACTTTTACTTCTTGATTTCTAGACTCATATTTTGACCTTGGAAGTCAGGGTTATTTATCTTCGGTTATCAATTCAAAGCACAAAATGCATCCTGTGAAATAGAACATAATCCTTTTAGGTTATTTTCCTCTCAGTTACAAGTAACTGAGTCTTAAGTAAATCATTCCATCATTCAAACAAACCAGATGCTTCTGGGTGATGAAGTACATCACCCAGACAAAACCAATAAATTCCATGGGCATCTGTCTATCGCCACACTCTGTTATGGACTTAATGTCCCTCCTACCCCCAGCCCCCCACCCCCCTCCCGCCGCCGCCGCCAAATTCATGTTGAAATGTAGGCTATGAGATGTATCTAAATCTCATTTAGATACGTTTAGGACTGCCAACTAGGATGCTCTCTAGTTCTCTGACAAAGACTTGAGCTAAAATCTGAAAGTGCTGAGTGTCACATTTTCTTCCTGTAAGCACTCCATGCACTCAGAAGCAGGCATCCCACCTCACAATGTTTATAGTCATCTTCATTCCAAGCAGCCACGTCGCCCCCAAGGCACCTGCTTCATGGGGTTCTTTATTACAATAAGTAAATTTGAATATCAGTGCCACTCCATGTCATGGATTGCCAGCATTCCATTTCATGAAAAAGAGCTCAACATTTCATTCAGGTCTAAAGACAAACCCAAACACTTCAAAAATTCCATCTTTGAGAGTCTGTTTCCTGGGATTCCTGATCTCAACTTCTGAATTAATCAGGATTCAGTCAGGATACACAGACTATGCCTGTTACTTTCTTTTATTTTTTTGAGACAGACTCTTGCTCTGTCTCTAAGCTGGATTAAAGTGGCGCAATCTCAGCTCACTGCAACCTCCGCCTCCTGGGTTCAAGTGATTCTTCCGCCTCAGCCTCCCAAGTAGCTGGGACCACAGGCGCGCGCCACCATGCCCGGCTAATTTCTGCACTTTTAGTAGAGACGGGGTTTCACCGTGTTGGCCAGGATGGTCTCGATCTCTTGACCTCGTGATCTGCCCACCTCGGCCTCCCAAAGTGCTGGGATTACAGGGGTGAGCCACCTTGCCCAGCCTATACCAGTTACTTTCACAGGGAGAATTTAACATATAGAAGTGTTAACCAGATGTTGTATAACTGAAAGGGCAAAAGGAATACTACAGTAAATGTACAAAGCAGCTACCAGCCCTACCAGTGGGAGGATATGGAGAATAATTTGGGATTATGAAAATGGAGAAGTTTTACTGGAGGGCCCCACAGAGCTGGGACTGAGAAAGCATCTGCCATCTGATACTCGTTGTCTGAAGAAGCATAATGAGACTGAGATGCTGGGGGGAATAAATGCAAATTTGAACCAGATGCTCCTATGGGAAATAACAGTCATTGCCAGGGTAAGGAACTGTTGCTTAGTGACAATGATGGTAACAGGAACAAAACAGAAAAGACCAAGTTCCTTGCCACTCTTCTAGACTCACGATCTTCTTCTAGTGTTCCCTATTTGCAGGCTGACAGAAGCCTGGCTGGCAAAGAAATGTGATTTGCAAAGTCCCAGCCTTGGCATCACGTAGCTGAGTTTGGAACTGAGAGACTATAGCTTAATAACCAATAGTGTGTATCTGTATGTGCCTTTTAAAGTGAGTTCATCATGTGTCTTCACCCCTATGTACTTCAGCATGCGTCTCCTAAAAATAAGCATATTAAATACATATATATATTTTTTTTTTGAGACAGAGTTTCACTCTTTCTGCCCAGGCTGGAGTGCAATGGTGTGATCTCAGCTCACTGCAACCTCTACCTCCCAGGTTCAAGTGATTCTCATGCCTCAACCTCCTGAGTCGCTGGGATTACAGGCGCACACCACCATACCCAGCTAATTTTTGTATTTTTAGTAGAGATAGGTCTCAAAGTCCTGACCTTAGGTGACCCGCCCACCTCCATCTTCCAAAGTGCTGGGATTACAGGCATGAGTCACCGATCCTGGCCGACATTATGCTATAAAAGTACAAAACCATTCTTCACACCTGAGAAAAATTAATAATAATTCTTTAATATTACTTAATACTCAGGCCATATTCAAAGTCCCCCCAATATCTTTTATTCCTAATTTTATTATCTTTTATTTCTGAACCACCTTTTTATTTATTTCATGACATTAAAATTTTGAAGAATATCCCACTTACATGATTTGATTGTCTTCTTGTATGCTATTTAACTGATTATTCTAGGTTTTCTGCTAATTAGAGATTAGGTCAAAAGGCTTTATTAAATTTAGGTTAGTATAATTTGATTCAGGTTAGTAGGTATATAATGCCAAATTGTTACATCCTTGGTAATGCTAAATTTTCTTAATTGGTTACAGAATAGCCACCAAATCTATGTTTTTCTCTTTGAACTTTTTTTAGTGTTTTATTTTTAATATGTAATATAGGCATATGGTAAATTGCAACAGTCCAGTGAAAGCTGTGACTCCCGCCCCATCCCCAGCTCCGGAATTCTCCCCAGAGGCAGCTACTGTTACCAGATATGTATCTTTAAAGAGATGTTTATGAATAAACAAGTATGTGCATGGATACCTTGTGTGTTTGTGTGTGTGTGTGTGTGTCTTCACAAGTAGTAGCACACTAGACACTTGAATACTTCAAGATTTTTAATTAACTGTCAAAATAAACTTACTGGATGTAAATTAAGTGGATGAGGCATAGTCTTCTGAGTGTTATTTAAAGAAAATCTGTAGAAGTCTTTTGAAATACAAGATGTAGATAAATTAGTCTCCTTCTACTTCAGAACAGCTAACAGTTAAAATACCCGTTTCCAGCCACTACCAATATCTCATTTACCCCATTTAATCATGGCTCATTAATATGGAATTTCTACTTTTTTTCCCAGCCAAAAGGCAAAGATAGATTCTTTATTTCTTATATTCCCTCCCAAAATCACCCCTGGCAAAATGTGGCAAAGCCTGTTTCTGGACTCATTTATAGGTTACTTTCCTCAGAACCTGATTCTGCAAAGCAGAAACCTCTAGAACTTCTTAGCAGGGCATTTTCTCAAATCAAACATTAGTTCATTTCTGATCCACACACTGAGTTGAGAAACCTCATCAAGAGCTTTTTGCATCAGGTTCCAAAATGAAGTCTTTCCAGCTGAGGCCCTTCAAGTTACGTCTGGAAACCGATTGGAGCTTTTCTGGGTCAATTATTGTTGAATGTAAGTGATATCTATTTTGGTCTGATTTCATCTGCACTAGGACTCTGTCTCAGAGCTTTAACTTTCTTAAAACCTAAAGCAAGAAGAGCCTCTGAGAACTCTCTGATTCTTCTTTTCCTTCCCTTGAAAACTACTCTACTTGTTGAAGACTTCTGTCCAGCTAAATATAGTCTAGTAGAAGGAACTTATGGCTAGGTGCAAGATTTGGGTTATTCCAACTCTGACCCTCATTCAATGTGTAATCTTGGGAAGATGACTTGCCTCTGTGCCTCAGTTCCTTCAGGTGTATAATGCGGGAAATACTTGTCCCAAATTTTTTGAAAGATGGAACAAAATGCTATTTTAAATTTTTTTAAGAAAGTATATTACCGTAGAAGGATTACTGTTATCCAAACTCACTGGCACATCCCCAGATCCAGCTCATCCACAGAGGAAAGTAAGAATTCCCAAAAACTACAACACAGCATTTACTTTATTTTCTATTTTATTGGGGGGAGGGATGCTGAATAAGTAACATATTCCCATGGTTTTAAAAATCAGATCATTCCAAAAGAAAAGCAGTGAATAATAAGGCTCCCTCTCATAACTGTTTTACAGTTCCCCTCTCCAGAGACAACTTCGTGGGTTACAATTTCTTGTATATCCTTCCAGAAATAATTGTTTTTGTTCCCATGTGTGTTTGTGTGTTTTCCTTTCCTTTATTAACATATATAGTAGTGAACTGAATACATTGTTCTGCTCCTTATTTTTCTCACTAAACAGTATATATCAAAAATAATTCCATGTAAGACAGAATTCTGCCTTTGTAGATACATAGAGTGATTTATTTAATCAGCTTCCTATTACTGGGCATTTAGATGGCTTTTAATCCTTTATTAAACAAGGTTGCAATGAATATCCATCTGCACATTTCCACAATTAAGTTCCTGGAAAGAGAATGGCTACATCAAAAAATAAATTGGGTGTTTTAAATTTTTTGTTAATCGGCAAGCTTTTGTTTGGGTTGATCTTGTTTCATTCTAAGTGACATAATACAAGAGCAGCCAACATGCACTTCAACATCATGGTTTTTTAAACCTGAGTGATTTTAATCTTTTCCCTCATATGACATTACAATAGTGAGTACAGTTCTCCAGGCTTGAGGACTTAGAAGTCTGTGGAATGGCAGCAGGTCCTCTCTATAAACAGCTGTCTCCCCGGTACTGCCACATTGGTGAGCACCATCTGGAATTATCTCATTCTGGAGAACCTCACAGCCCCTTATTAAAAGTAAGCATCTGAGAACTTGGGTCTTGGCCATCAGCTGTTAGGAATGATTCAACAATAGTTTTAAAATGTTGTTTTATACCAAAATTGGAGAAAATGAAAGGCTGAAAATGGGGGAGGGGGGGAGCCTACATTGAAATAATGAATGTAAGTCAGAAGACCTTCTTCTTGGCACAACCATCAAGTCACTGAAGGTCTCTGTACCTCTTTGTCTTCGTGTATGAAATGAAGATCATGGACCAAATTATTTCTCAGGACCTTTCCTCCTTTGAGATTCTGAAGATTCAGATGCAGCATACAGGGTACTTGTCCTCCCAATCTCACCATTTTCAAAACGCAAGAAGTGTCACAAATCACTACATGATTACTATCCAAAAGGGTGATAAAATTGGGAAGGGATTTAGACAGTGATGTGCTGGCGAACAGGCTGGGGGCTGCGGTAAAGAGAAAAGTGCTCTGATTGGTAGAATTTGTCGATTTCCATATTGTGATTACTTTCACACTACCAGCATGACATCACTAAACTCAGAGTTGGGAAGAGATGCACAGAATTGGCTGCTGGGATCCAGCAAACCAGTTAAGAATGCAAAGAAGGCATTTTCTTCATACTGTTCTATGCTGAGAGGACTTGATACAAGAGGAAAGATTTGAACTAGGTACTGAAAGATATTGATAAGGACTTTCCATGCTAACTCACAGAAGCAATTCAAACTAGCTTAAAGAAAGAAAAAGAATGTAAGAATGAGACTGTTTTAGCACAAGTATTTGAAAAGGGGCTTTAACAATGTAGTCATGGCACTTGCTCCACCTTTCAGTTCTTCTTGAATCTGCTTCTATTTGTGTATTGTCTCCTGCCATAAGCAGGATCTCTCCAAGTGGCAGGAAAATACAGCTAGTGGCAGCCCAGGGCTACCTCTTTGCAGTCAACAATTCAAAAGAAAAGCAGTGCAATCTTATGGAGATCACATGGAAAGACTCTGGCTCACTCTGGTCTCATGCCCATCAATTCAGCTCCTAACTGGGCAGAAAAGGAAAGGGTACATAATTCACACTCCCTTGCCGCTGTGGTCAGAGGGCAGACAGAGCACTAAGATGGACCTCTCTACCACCCAAAACACATGAGAGTCATCCAAACAGAGCTCCCTAATGGAAAAAGCCATGAATTTGTGGTAAAGATATGGGTAAGGCTTTGTAGAGAGGCAGAAGAAGAGAGAGTAATTAGAGGGAACAGCATATATAGGTGCAGAAATGTAAATATTGATGGTGCATTTGGGATCAGTGAGAAAACCACCCTGACTAAAGCAGAGCTACCCATAAGACAGAGGTCAGCTTTGCCCCTCTAGAAACATTTGGCAATGTCTGAAGACATTTTCGGTTGTCCCAGCTGGGGTTGAGGGGGGCTGCTACTAGTAGGTAGTATCTAGTGGCTAGAGGCCAGAGATCCTGCTAATCCTACAATGCACAGGACATTCCCCTCAACAAAAAAGGTGTGTTTAGGCTGATGTTACACAGGGAAGCATTAGAAAGAGTAAGGTAGCTTGTACATACTCTACTTCTGCCTGGCTCCTCGCCTCACCTAGGCCACCTTTGTATGACTAGCCCTTTGTTATCCTTTGGGGCTCAGCTTAAATATCACCTACTGAAGAGATCATCTAGACTTCTCAATCAAAACAGGTTATCTCACAGACTTCATATCAGTATTCTTTCCCACGTTTCCCTCTTATTTTCCTTCATAACTTACCCCAGTTTTGAATCATATATTTATTTGGTTGCTGGTTTTGCATCTGTCTCCTCATAAGCCCTGTGGAAGCAGAGACCTTCCCTATTTGTTCACTGTGACCCCAATGTCAAGCAGAGTGCCTGGTGCATTGTAGTTGCTTATATTTAATCAACTGATTAATCTGAAGGTTGATGGTAGGATTGAAATGGGGTTGAGCATAGGAGGTGGATAGAAAGAGGAAAGAAGGCAGTCTTCCTTCGCTGCTTGTTCTGATCCACACTCATCTCCCTTCCCTGACTTTCACAGCACCTATAGTTCATAACATGATATGTCAGTTAGGATTTTAAGCAGACATGAATTTAATAAAAAGAATCAAACTCAGAACCATTGCAGAACAAGTTCTGATGAGGGCTTGCAGGAATGAGTCCCAAAACCCGTCACCGTACTAACCCCACCACCCCAAGGGAACAGTTCCTTCTGCCACAGTCAGGAGGCCAGTGACTGGCCCAGTTGACTAACACAACATCTTAGGTGTAATCTGGGGATCAGGAACTGGCAGAACTCCAGAGTCACATTGCACCTTCCAAGTCAGCAACAGCAAAGTAGATTCCTCCCAGGCTGCTGCCTCCTCTTCACAAAACTCAGATTTTGTTTTTTGGGTTTTTTTTTTCTGAACACAATTTTGAATTCAGGTCTTGCCCAGTTGCACAGGACTAGCTAAACCTAAATTATAATGGGAGCCCCAACAGCTAGGAGTCTAGGAAATGGATTTTTAGCTTTCTAGTCTCTGTTGTATAGGAAGGCACACCAAGAAAAGTTTGGACAATTGTGGAACAAACCGCTCTGCCTCATCTGGCTCATAGCTGCCCCGCTCTGTAGCCATCAATGTCATAATGTCATTCATCTTCTCTAGATGGACACTAGCATGTTCTTTAGACATGAATGGATGTGAAATGAATTGAATGGAAGGGGAAAATCCTCCTTTTTCATGTTCACACTTTGCACCTTTCCTATGGCACTTATTCTGTTTTACCTCCTAGTGTAATTTGTGTTCTCATTCAGAAGTTCACCTCTTTGTCCCCATACTCAAAATAGTTGATAAATGTTTATAGACTGTGGCCAGGTGTGGTGGCTCACGCCTGTAATCCCAGCACTTGGGAGGCCAAGATGGGTGGATGACCTGATGCCAAGAGTTCAAGACCAGTCTGGACAACATGGTGAAACCCCATCTCTACTAAAAATACAAAAATTAGCTGGGGGTGGTGGTGTGCGCCTGTGGTCCCAACTACTTGGGAGGCTGCGACAGGAGAATAATTTGAATCCAGGAGGCAGACATTTCAGTGAGCTGAGATTGCACCACTACGCTCCAGCCCAGGTGATGGAATGAGACTTCATCTCAAGCAAACAAATGTTCATAGACTGAGTTCAAGACAAAGAGAAACTAGGGAGAGGAAGTCCTAAGCTCCAGTCTAGCTTGACACAGTTCTTACAGCACATGAAACTGTCGCTTAACAAGTATTTTGGATTGCCTGCTACGTGAAGCCACCACCACTGCCAGGACCCATAAGACAAGGACCCAGGAACTCTGCTAGGCTTCAGGAAACCTAAGTCCCAGGTATCTTCAAAAGTTGAGAAAACATTTGTCCTCATTCATTCAGTCAGTAAATGTTTCACATTGCCAAGTATAGCATCACTTCCTTTCTTATACTTTTCATTAACCTTTTTTTTTTTTTAAAGCAACAAGAGCAAGCCAGTAATTTCAACCTCTGTCCTAATGAAGCCACATGGGTAACACACAGATATTCCCACTGTACCCTAGGAGAAAGGCTTTCCTGAACCCTTTAGATTCTGAATGGCCTCCAGGCATCCTAAGCAGTTTCCTCACCTTTCAGATATCTGACCCAAGGGGCAGTGGATGAAAGCTTCCTTTCCAGACATCTGTATATCAACACCCTGAACTCTGCTTCACATGTTATCACTCATTCTATGTTTAGAGCTCACAGTTCGCCTACATTCAGACAAGTCTCAGTTGTCTCTCAGGGTTCACCTGAAACATCACTTTAGCAGGCCTTCCCCTGACCACCCAGTTTATACTTTAAGTTTTTCTTTTCTGTAACAGTGGTTTCACTTGTAACCACTTGTATCACCCCCAGCTGGAGGGCTCTAAGTTTCATGAGGGTAGGCATCAAGTCTTTGTGTTTTCCTCTATATCCCCAGCACCTTGCTTGGGGACTGACACAGAATGGATGCTTATTAAATATTTGTTGAATGAATGTTTGTTGAGCCTACAAACTAACATTCTTAAACAGTATTTATGTAATATTAGTAATAATTCCCTACATAGTTCAGTGACTTACCAAACATCTTTATGAGTGAGTGTCCCAACTTTGGGGTAAAGACAGTGCAGGTAATATTATTCTCCCAGTTTTTCAGAAAATAAGTCACCATCTATGAGGTTATCTGACTTAAGGCAGTGGATCCAACATTAGAATTTGAATGCATAACTGTATTAAATTTCTGACTGTAAATTGTGTGTCATTTACCAGCTGTTAACCAGATGCTCTGGCCGTGGAGTGAAGTATGTGTAGCTAGTGGAAGAGAGCAGTGGAAGAAACAGGGAGAAGCAAAAGCCAGCTCTTGGAGGGATTTCCTTTCCTCCAGTGCCTGCTTGGTTCCTTAACAAGATTGCTTTGCCTGTCCTGGGAGCTGAGACCCTCCATACATCTCTCAATGACTTGAGGTAGGGCCAGAGAGAGTGAGTGAGACCAGTGAAGCCTTACTTGCTGGGGAGGAGAAAAATGAGGGCTGGGACACAGGAGCACTCACTCACACTGTTGCATATGTGCACACTCCAGACAAAATCCACACAAAGGCCTGCATACAAATCAACACACAGAATGAGCCACTGCACAGTCATACACACATTTAAACGTGCACCCCACATACAGATGTCTAGCCACTGCCGTGTACATCCAGCCGCTGATGAGCACTCCAGTTACACACCAAGCTGCCATCTTCGACCTGCGCATGCAGGTGTGGATACACCTAACAGCCCTGATGAAAATGTTGATAAATGCACGTATGCACACACGTAACTAAACACATATATATGATTTATCATCACACTCAAGTACATGCACACCTTTATAAACACGTGGGAATCAGTCTGATCACTCTGGCCCACAAAACCTCCAAATACACTAACAAGGTCTACACACGCAGAGATGCATCGACACACCCGAGTTGTCATCAGCGCTGTAAGTTTTTTTCCAAACAGCTGCTAAAAAGAGTGCTGCGCTGCGGGCCAGCCCACGTGACCGGGAGGAAGGCTCTCCCGCCCATGACGGGATGGGAAAACTATGCCTGGGGCCAGCGCTCGGCCCGGCTGCTGCCGCAGAGGAAAGCAGGGACGTGGAGCACCGCCGAGAGCCGCCGAGAGCTTCTTTGCTCCGGACGCCCCTGGACGTGGCGGGCAGCCGCGAGGGTGAGTGTCCCGCACCGCGGCCGGGAGGGGAGGGCAAGTGCGCGGGAGGAGGAGGATAGCACTGCTGCGGGCGGGGCGGGATGCGAAGGCGGGAGAGCTGCCAGCGCGCCCTCATTGCCGGCTGGGCAGCTCCCGCATTCCTGCCTGTCACTTCTGCCTTCTGTGTTATAACACAAATTAACATGTTTGGAGTCCTTACTCTATGCCAGGCTCCGTGCCCAGTAGTTTACCGGTTACAGTAGCAATACGCATATTGAGCGCCTACTTTGTGCCAAGTCCTGCGCGCACTTTACTTGCGCTCTTTCATTTTCATGACAACAGATTATCCCTGTCTACAAAAGAGGAACTGGGCTCAGAGACATTAATGACTTCAACAGGGTTGCACAGCTAGTAACTGATGAAAAAGGGACTTGAAGTCTGGTACGTTTGAGTCCAATACCCCAGCTAACAATCACAGTTAAAATTTACTGAATGCATTATTTCATTTAATCTTCACATTTATTTAAATATATGATACAGACTGTCAAACTGAGCTCACGAGGTATTGAACGTCAGGCAGAGATTTGTACCCAGTTCTTCATGACTCTTTTCACGCTCCTTCTTCCCCCAAACTACTTGTCTTAATACACTTTGTTCTTATTTCTCCATCCCCACTGCTGCTGCCCCCTTCTAGGACCTCACTTTTCAGCTAAACAATTGCAATGGCCCCTAATAGTCTCCCAGCCAAGTTCTCTCCTCTGACACCATGAGTCCCTTGCACAACCTCACTGTGATCCTTAGCTGCTTCTTCACCACAAAACTGCCGTGCTTGGAACCCTTCGGGGGTCCCTTCCTTAGACTGGCCATCTCTCAGAGACCCTGTGTTTCCACAATGCTGAACCAGTAATAATAATAGCCAGTGTCCTACATAGGTCAACCCAGGGCTGGTGCTCAGTTAGCATTGTTAAAAATCTGTCCTCTCACATCCTTATTTTTGCCCTCCCTCTGCACCATTCTCTAATTTATTCTGTCATCTGGAGCAATGATATCAATTACTCCTGCTCTCAACTACCCACTCCTCAGACTCTCCACAGTTTCCAACAGCACTAGAGCCCTTCATTCGAACATATCAGATTCACTGCAGAATTTGTTTCCTGCCAAATGTCTGACTTCTCTCCACATCCTAGCAGGGATACCACACTTACCTGTCTTCCAATCCTTAAACCTTAGGGTTAACTTTTGTTTTAAGTGTTATAAAAGTAATGATACTCATCGTAAGAAATTTGGACAGTTCAAAAAGGTAGAAAGTGAAAAGAAAAAACCCACACACTCTCTCCTGAAAGGTGTAACCCCTTTAACAAGATTTTGTGTCTTTTCAGAAATTTCTCCAACCCCTCTGTACATACAAATATCTATTCTATGTTTGTGCTGTGTTTTGTTTGTTTTGTTTTTGAGACAGAGTTTTGCTCTGTCGCCTAGGCTGGAGTGCAATGGTGAGATCTTGGCTCACTACAACCTCCGCCTCCCAGGTGCAAGCGATTCTCCTGCCTCAGCCTCCCAAGTAGCTGGGACTACAGGTGTGTGCCACCACACCCAGCCAATTTTTTGTATTTTTAGGAGAGACGGGGTTTCACTGTGTTAGTTAGGATGGTCTTGATCTCCTGACCTCGTGATCCACCCACCTCAGCCTCCCAAAGTGCTGGGATTACAGGCATGAGCCACCGCGCCTGGCAATTTTTTTTTTTTTCAACTCAAAGAGAATCTTACTTTACGTTCCATGGTACAACTTGCTTTTTTCACTTAATAGTGTGTCTTCTCCATGTTCATATCTGCATATACAGGCCTACATTGTTCTTCTAATGGTGTCATACTGTGTCATTGTATGGATGAACTGAGACTACTTTTCACAAGGCTGGAGTCATCTTTGAAGCCACTCTGTCTCTATCGAATATTCATCCAAGATGTCACTTTTTTCTCTGCAAATCTCCCTGTTCTTCTCCCCTGTCTCACTGTTCCTTTTCTTATCCTGACCCTGCTGATTGGAGAGTCTCTCCTGCAGTGTCAATCACTGATGCTTCCTACTCCTGAATGTTCTTTGTGGGGTAAGAGAGCCCCTCTCCACAACCACAGCTTCACACCCACTCCTTCTTCCAGGTCAAAGGCCTGCCCACCTTACTTTGCCTCCATGAGCTGAACTATTGCATAAATCAAACTTCCGTTAATTATATTCCATTCTAGCTTTTCTTTTGAAAGGAAATATTTTTTCCAGCAAATAACCTTTCCCTGGATTTGTTCACTTCTATAAATAGCTTACTTCTATAACACACATACACATGCACATACACATCACTGCCTTGTTAGTAACTCCCCTGTTAGCTGAGGGGCCATGGTAAAGGAACATGAGCTCTGGGCCCCGAGCCAGCAGGCCTGAGTTCCACCCCAGCTCTGACCTAGGAAAAATCATTTTTCCCTTTTCCAAGCTCTGTTTTCTCTTCTGCCAAGTGGCGATGACAGTATCAGCCTCTTAGAAGTGTGGGGAGAATTAAAGAAGATATGAACATCAGAACTTTGAAATAAGAACACACAACATACATGGAGCATCATTACTCTTTTCCTCTGGATTAGGGGTTGCAAACCCAGATACTGACAGAGGCTGTGAACAATGTGTACAGGAGTGGGATGCATGACATTTGGGAGTAGTGAGGACTGTGGACACTGAAGAACTCAGGCTCTTTGTTCTAGTCAGCATGGGGCACCATAACAATACACAGACTCAGGAGCTACAACAACAGACATGTATTTCTCATGATCCCAGAGGCTGGAAGCCCATCATCAAGGTGTCCACAGTGTTGGTTTCTTCTGAGACCTCTCTCTGTGGCTTGCAGGTGGCCGTCTGCTGTGTCTTCACATGGTTGTCACTCTGTGTGTGTCTGTGTCCCGACCTCCTCTTCTTATAATGACACCAGTCATACTGGATTAGGGCCCACCCGTATGACTCATTTTACCTTGATTACCCTTTTTATGGTCCGATCTCTAAATAAAGTCCCATTCTGAGAATCTGAGAGTTAGGACTTCAATGTGTGAATTCTGGGGAGACACAAGTCAGCTGGTAATATCTTGTCTCAAGGGGCAGCCCCCTGGTGACCTACCCAAATGCAGGCTCAGTGCTGCCAGAGAAAAGCAGCTGCTCAAGAAAAGCAGCAAACGCCGATGTTAAACATAAAATCTCCCAAGTTTTACATTGGCAACAATTTAAAATTCAAAACCCAAAACCAAAAGTATGGAGCATGGAGTACAGAGTAGTCTGTGATCCACGTGAGGCCACTGATAAGCCAGACTGACCCCTGCTTGTCTGGGCTATAATTTCCTCAGTGGCAGGGGCATGTTTCATAGCTTCTTAATCCTTCTCAGCCAGTCTTTGCATATATATATATATATATATATATATTTGGCAATGTCTTGCTCTGTCGCCCAGGTTGGAGTGCAGTGGCACTATCTCTGCCCACTGCAGCCTCTGCCTCCTGGGCTCAAGTGATTCTCCCTCCTCAGCCTCCCAAGTAACTAGAACTACAGGCATGCATCACCACGCCCAGCTAATTTTCATAGTTTCTGTAGAGACGAGGTTTTGCCAGGTTGTTCAGGCTGGTCTCGAACTCCTGGGCTCAAGTGATCCACCTGCTTTGGCCTCCCAAAGTGCTGGGATTACAGGTGTGAGCTGCCATACTCGGCCTGCACATTGTAATATTTACAAAACGTTAAAAGCTAATCATTAAATGACTAAATTTGAATTTTACAATCTCATTTAAAGTAGGGCACACCTGTAGAAAAACAAGTATTTGTAGCATTCATGCTGAGCTATAAAATTGCATCAGCCATTATAACTGCCTTCATCTTCAACTTTGCCATTGATGCCAAAGTTTGCAAATGTTCAGCTCCTCACGGGGTCACTGGTACAGCCAATTTACAGATGAGGAAACAGCAGACCCAGGTATGCTTGCTTATTCTCATGAGTATAACAACCTTCTCCCGTTGCATCATCTCTCTCTTTGTTCTCAGGAATGATTATTGTATCAAAAAAAACACCACTGTTACTGAGTGCTTACTGTCGGCTGGTTGCTGCATTATCTCATTAAATATTCACAACTACTCTATAAGGGAGGTGTGAACAGTCAAATTACTCAAGGGCGGCATTCCTAAAGACCTCAAATAATTCAAAACTGGTGTCATTAAAAGCTCACCTGCTGAATGGATAACCAAACATTGTACATTCTCACTCGTAAGTGGGAGCTAAGCTATGAGGATGCAAAGGCATAAGAATGACACAATGGGCTTTAGGGACTCAGGGGGAAAGGGTGAAAAGGGGGTGAGGAACAGAAAACTACAAATAGGGTGCAGTGTATACTGCTCGGGTGATGGGTGCACCACAATCTCACAAATCACCCCTAAACTTTCTCATGTAACCAAACACCACCTGTTCCCCAATAACCTATGCAAATAAAATCTTTAAAAAAAAAATACCTCGCCTGCTAAAGAATGGTAGATATTTCTGATTACCTGTTAGGACAGTGCTGTCATGTGGCTATAGCATAAACATAGTTTACAATTTACAATCCACAACCTTACAAGATTCTTGACAACTTTTAATTTGGGAAATTGGGGCTATTTCAGATTTCACACATAAAGTGAAACAATACTCAAATTAAAATAAGAGCATACAGTATTATTTTTCTCATTTGACAGACAAGGAACTGAAGCCGAGAGAGATTAAATAATGTGCCCAAGATCAAACAGCTAGAAAATGAATTAACCAAAAAAAATTTAAAAAATAAAAAGAAAATGAATTAACCACCAGAGCAGCTCTGTGCTTCTCTAAGGGCCTGTATCTGATTTTTTTTTCTTTGTAGAGATGGTGGGCAGGGGGGGGGGTCTCACTTTGTTGCCCAGGCTGGTCTCGAACTTCTGTCTTCAAGTGATATCCCCATCTAAACCTCCCAAAGTGCTGGGATTATAGATGTGAGCCA